TAAATCAGAATAAATTATGAAGTATCTGCTCTAAATTATAAAATATTAATATATTTTTAATACTTTATCATTATTTAAGACGCCTTGAAGTTAATGTTACTTTTCCAAAGTATTATAATTTTTTCACCAACATGTCCGGTAATAAACGTATACTCGAATACTTAAAAAAAAAGGTTCTTCTATGCGCGCTTATATTTGGATGAGCCGACTTTCACATAAAAGGAAAAAAATATTTCAATGCCATCTGACGAAGACACACCGAACTATGAAATAAATGCCAATCGTGTATAGCGATATAAAAAACATATATTGACATATATACAACAACCCAACAGTCATCTGGTCGGAGGGCGCGAGGTCGCCCTTTGTGCTGGAGAGACAAAACACATATTCTTCCGTATGGGGAAACTCGCCAACTTGCTGCTACTACAGCATGCGGCAAGTCGATTCGCACGTGACACGCGACAATCGTACTTATAACAACTATCAACACGTTCCATTGTAGTGACTCAAAGTTATAGTTTTCGTCTCTTATATGTAAATTAGAAATCAAAACTTCCGCAAACCGTATTCATATTTATTCAAGATATTAGTATTGCGCCGGACACCGATTCGGTAGGTAAATTCACTCCTTGATACAAGACCTCCGATGGGGATCGAGTCCGAACTAGTTGTATATCCCTAAAAGAACAGGTTAGTAAAGCTGTACATATTTAATAAATAATGACATGTATATTGTAACACTAAATGTTGGAGCTAATATAAATCCTTGTTGAAGTGTAAATGTAATAAAGTACACGCATGGATACACATGTATTTAATAATAAAATATACTCGAAGTCAGAGCAGATAAACTGACGTTTTTGTTCGTGTCATCCTTTCTTTAGCGCTATATTTAAATTTAAAGTCTGAATATCTATTTGCCAATGAACTCAAATGCCGCGGGTAAGTGTCAGCTGGCAAACTGCAGTATATTAATTTTGTCGACTCACTTACATTTTATTCTATTAAAATTCTCACACTTAGAAAGATCTATCTACACACAAATAGCACCAATTATTTTTTAATTTGTTAAGTAACCGTTTGTTTCATGTATAAAGTAAAATTAAGATTTGAAATTTTGTTATCTTTACAAGTTCCTATTTCACTAGTCGCTTAATATCTCTTTTTAAAATCTATCAAATCACCTTTAAGCACAGATTAAACACAAGTGATACCATAAATAGGTACGTTGAGTTTTTTAAATAATTTGACACAGATAAGACAGGATTTATACCAGGTATATATTTTATTTTTATATTATTTTATAAAACTATATGCATATTATTATTTGCTATGATTTTTCTTTTTTTTTTCTTTGTGTCCATGTTTTTGTTAGCTGGCAGCTCATTCTTTGTGTACAATCATTACGAAAGGATAACATGATTGTTACTTTGTAACAAGAAGTAATTAATAATAGTTCTAAGTACTTTGGAGGTTGTTCAGAGGTATATTTTTTATTAATGTTTTTTTTTTTCAACTAACACAAAATAGATTTAAGATTCGCTGGAGTTTCTAATATTCGTTGTAAAAAACCATTAAAATTTTATTGCGGTTATTGTATACTAATCGATCCTGATAAACCAGTTTCTCGTAAAGTGAAATGACCTGTTTTGTCTTTGTTACACCATATAGTCTATTAGAAAGAGATAGATAATTGCTATTTTTAATACATTGTGTTATTGAAGAATGACATGACAAGAATTCAAAGCGCCATATTTCAAGGCGACGGCGCGATATTTTGAACAAAACTTTTTGTAACTCGTAAAACTTTTATATTATAAACACCATATAGCTGACTAAATAATAGATACAGACAAAACTAATAACGTGGCAAACAGGTATACAAATAGCAACTGGTCACACATTGCACTGGATTGTATAAAATCTTTTGTTTTAAATGTTTATTATTACAGCTGATTGCTCATAATTGAATAAAAGGGACGTTTAAAACACCTGCGATGACACACGCATTCTAACAATCACTTAATTAATTAATTCGAAAGAGCAAGGACGTTACTGTACAGATTTAATACATTTACAAGTTGTTATTCATACTACGTTAAACGCAGATTCACATGCTTTAATGGTCACTGTTCTAATAATAAAGTTCTTAGCATATTATAAGGTACATTACAAACCTTAAGAAATTTGCTACGAACTAGAAAAAACACAACCTGTATTTTTACAGATTAATGTATTCTATAAAAAAAGAGCTTTATTTAAATAGGTTGATCACATTTAAGTTACATTAAAACCGTAGTGTATCAACTGTCAGTAGACTCATTAGAGCTTTAAGAGTAAAGTGGGAGGGGAGGTCTAGAACACGTGTAGTCTCAGTTCTGACAAGTACCAGTTACTGCCTACCGTCAGCCCGAACATGTGCTTGCTTAGTTATTTAGCTGTATATAAAAAAATAAACAACCGTTCGACAGCGTGTTGCTAATGTCACGACCGGTTCGCTCATTGCCGTGCCTGAGGTCTGATCGCATTGGTAACCTGTTTGATAACCGCGGAGGGTGAAGGGGGGGTTTTGTATAAATATTCTAGTATATGAGTATAAGCAGAGTTTGTGCGAATTTTAGTTTAGTGCAACAATGTGGTAAGTAAAGCATTTAAAGTGTTCATTTTTTTATTAGTTAGGTACCTGCAACTTACGACTTGACAGATAGAAAGTTACTATAAATAGTGACGTCACGTTATTTTAATTTTGAAGTGGTTCACCAATTCTTTTTTCGTAATTTCTGTTTTAAAATTAGAATCGGTTTTAATATACAGGCTAGTTTTTTTACTAGGCATCCTTACAAATACGGTTTTAGAAAGGAGGTCAAGTTTATTTTTTACAATTAACGTAAACTCTTTAACAAATTCTTTGTTAGTATGTTTGTATTTCTTAAACTATGATATAAAAGTACCTGTGTGTCTGCCTGTGGGCTCATAGCTCCTAAACGGATAGATCGAAAGGTTAATTTACTAATCTTCTGTTAATCATATTTCACGAAATTGTCATTAAATATACGTATATTTAATGTGAATTTCGTGGTTTATTAGTATTTAATATGTAAGTTAGGTATTAATATTTAATAGAACAAATGTTTTTACTAATGTATTTAATTAACTAATAAACCATAAGTTAAATTAGTGATTTTTTTTAAATGTTATTTTTTTATACATCTTTGTACCTTACTGTTCTTGAATCTCAACAATTAACAATTTGCATGTAATTTTAATTTTGCAATAATTATACATTTAACGAATCTAACGGGAAATCGAAACGAGGATAAGACTTTACGACCCACAAGTGGGTTTACCCACTTGCATTACAAGTGGGTCTAGTGCAAGGAAAGTTACCAAGATACCTTGGGCGTTTCTAAATTACATTAGCCTGCATTCGCCACGCTTATTAAAAATAAATTCAAAAAAAGAATTACTGACTAATGCGCCTACATAAATTGTAATAAATTGCACAGACATCATTCCTTAACTGTATACCCTGTTGTATACCCCTAGGGTAAATTTGAATAAGAACAAACAGGAAATATACCTCCCAAAAAAGGAAACCGACATTTACATAAATAACAACCCATTTCAGAAACTTGTTCATTTTTAACTCGATAAACTTAAACTCGATCAAAATACTTGAATATTCGTTCATATACTTTTTATTTATTTATTATTATTTATTTATTTATATCTTTATTGTTTACAGTTAGCAGTTAATAGTTTTTTTTGCAAAAATGTTGCTGTCATGAATAATTAGTAAAAAAAAATTTGGTGTATTTTTCTCGAGATAGCTGACAGGATCTTGTTTTTTTTTATGTTAGATGGGGCAGACGAGCAGACGGGTCACCTGATGGAAAGTGACCACCGCCGCCCATGAAAGTCTGCAACTCAGGAGTCATAAACGCGTTGTTGTGCAAATAATTAATATTTTATTTTGTCGTATATTTGCATTATTAATATTTCTCTTCAATGTAAGGCTTATATACAATCTATTTATATATGTAAAAAAATTAGTTTGTGTACGCTTTAAAAATTAAAAAAAACCGGACAAGTGGGAGTCGGATTTGCCTACCGAGGGTTCCGTACAAATTTGTAGATACATTTACGGGATTTAATTACAAATGTATACTTTTCAGATTTTTACCTATACTTGTAGTATAAGACTCAGAACATCAATTTGTGGATCACACAAAGTGTCGTCCCATGTGGGGATCTAACCCACAACACGCAGCGTAGTAGTAAGCGGCGTGACGACCGTTTAAACCACTACGCCATCCGTTCAGTCAATTATTAAATTATGTCAATCATTTCTATGAACAGAATTTTATGAAAATCTATTTTTTTCCATTATCCCATCTCTACTCACTCAGTACCGTAGTTATTCGTTGGGACAACAATCTAAAAGATAATTTTCTCTCCCACATGAGACTCTTTTTCTGGAAAATAAAATTTGTATACACTGTGTCTGGATACAGAAAAAAAAATGTGCTTATAACAACGTGTGTGTACAATTTTATAATTAATAGCGGAGAACAATAAAAATACCTTCAATTGACATTACAATTACTGTGGATTGACATACATTATGTTCAGTTTCCTATCGGTCAATCTACAAACGCCATAGAGCGATTTTATCGTATCTCAGAATATTCAATTTTACACCAGAGACTAAATAAGACAGATAGACATAGAAAAGTAGACATAGACTATTCGAGCGATTTTTTTTTCTAAATAATATACATATTTGATATATAAACATACACAAGTAAATTTAGCATTTGGGCCGATTTCCAAAATTCAAAATTTCCGCCTTCTGCCGCCAATGTTTGTTAGCATCTTTTATCTTCTCATTTACTTTTTTAATAAATCTTAATGATTTTTTGCAGATGCTAACCAGTAATTAGTTATAGAAAATAAGACACTATTTCCTAAATTAAGGAAATATCAAGATTTTAAAGATGGCATCAAATACACGGGATAAGAAGGATCCTTGTGACATATCGGATTTAATGGAGACTTTTGGCAAGTACCAGATAATCCAATATTTCTTAATATGTCTGCCGGCATTATTTGTCAGCATGATTAGCATCAATTACGTATTTACAGTCGGAGATGTGGATTACAGGTAAGTCTCTTTAATATCCTACTTATAAATCACCCCACTCCCCGTTCGGCGATTCTAATATTTGCGCAATCACGACCTTCATGCTTTAATTTAAAGTATATTTTCAAGTAGCTAAGGACCTTAGCCTCAATACCTATTTAAATGATCAGATATTTACCTAGAGAAATCTTTAAGCAAAAATTAAAAATCATTGAACAAGAGATTTGAACTTTCATTAATCGTACCCTAAGTCGCTATAAACATCGCTTTCCTCACAATATTTCTTCTTTGCTTTCGTAAATGAGATTGGCAGAGAGGAGGCCTTACCTTGCCTACTTATCTTTTGAAAAGCAATGCTTTTCAAAAGATAAGTTTGTAGAAATGTCCTATACTTACTTCAATGACCGCTTCTGTTTCTATTTTGCAAAGGTTCAAAGACAATCTTCGATATAGTTTTTTTTAATACAAAATTTTCACTGCTAAAAATATATTGTCTCAGGTGCAATGAAATTCCTGTGAATCCCGGCAGACTTGGTCGCCACAACAAGCGATTCCACTATCGTGTACGGCGAGGCTTTTTCCAAGCAGCATCTTGGGCCTGCTCCTACTATCTCCACCGTAGCTTCTGCTAATTACGAGGTCATACAAAACTGCGTCGGCTTTTAATGTAGTCTATTTCTGCTTCGGCAAAATATTCATAAAAAAAAACCTCACCTGGAACAAGAAAGAGAGGTCTTGCTATCTTAGTTACGAAGTATCCACCGTTTTTCGTCTAAATTATCAAACAAAAATAAAATACTGTGTAAAGGAATTAACTTATCTATATATCACAAAATATTGTAGCATCTTTTTTTGTTTCATTTATGTTTTAAAAAAAACTCCCACGTTAGGACTCAGAACAACATTTTGTGGAGGTTCAGCGCAGGAAGAAGCTTTGGGGCAACCGTTTACACCACTACGCCATCCGTGCAGCGCCTGAGCTTTATTACTGATAATTTATTTTGACAGATGTCGAATTGACGAATGTGACGACGCAAACTCGACATCACATTTTCCGAGTTGGTGGCCTGACACAAGTATAGACAAATGTTCCAAGCCTGTGTTGAAAAAAGGTGAAGAAATATGTACCAACACCAGTTTCACTGGTAACCTGACTACCTGTGACCGGTGGATCTACCAAAGCAATAATACTGTTGTGGCTGAGGTAACTTTCATAACTTTTATTCTTATAATGCGTATTTACGTCGTACTAAGAGCCGTGGAGGAGCCATGCTTTGGCACAAATGAACCAACTCGACCGGAGTGACACCACGGCTTCATGAAAAACTGATTTTGAGCAATTCTTTCTTTGATTTTCACCGAGGTGAGGTTCAGGAGCCCCCAACTCCCTAAACGGGTCATTTACAGCCTTTACTAGTCCACTGCTGGACATAGGCCTCTCCTTAGAAAGGAGGTTTTGGCCTCCTAAAGGCAGTAGTCGTTTACCATAAGTGACTCATCTGTTCGTTTCCCCTATATCATAAAAAAAACGAATAATAATATGTATAACATCTATACTTAGCCAATCAAAATTTAGTCCATATCATGTTATTACCATTGCTGATTTTCGTAAACAGGCGACTTGAGGAATTGGGATTTCATGACAATGATAAGATAGGACAATTAATTCATAGTACATGTTAGTATTAGAATTAATTGTTAATTCAGAGTATATTGAGAAGCAGTGATAGGCCAATAGAAGGAAAAGGGTACTGCTTATGTGGACGGTGAAGTATCAGAGTCATATACATCGTCGTGCATCTCTAAAGATCTCGACAATGGTTCGTAAATAGGCTAACCAAAATTTTTTTTGTTCCTTTTTCTCTCCCCTTTTTTTTCCGTGCGGAAATCCCCTTGGATACCACCTATCGGTGGCATGTCGGACTCGAACCGACTAAAACCGCACGCAGTCTCGGGTACTAATAGGGGGGGGAACCAGGTATACCCTAGAAAGGAAGTCCCTGGTGCCCCGACATACCTCGGGCCATCTACAGACGAGTAGACGACCCCCCCCCCCCGTGTGGGAACCCCATTCCCTCTGCTCCCTGGAAGCGAGCGCGCTTCGCAACGCGCTCGCCGCCACCCCGGCCTGCTTCTGCTAGGGTGACAAATGGCCTCACCTGTCACCCCCAGGCCTGCGCTTATGGAGGACGGTGGTCATTCTGCGACCCTCGGCGTCCCCTGATATTCCAAGTTGAAAACAGACATTGATTCTATTTCGGTCTCTTTCTAGAGAAAAATCTTAGTGTTATTCAGTGTATAAATGACTTCTAATGTAGCTAATTGTTTTATGGTCTCTATTGTCTATTGTGATAATATTCCGTGCCCATACAAAGTCATAAGTTCAGAATGCAGTCTCTTTGTGCTGTCGCTTAAGATTGAAACACTTAACTCAGGAAATATCTTTACTTCCGCATTTAAATGACACGCACTTGAACATAGATTCCGCATTATTTACTGTAACTCTGAGAATATGATTTAATAGAAATAGAAATAACAAATATTTTAAAGTTTAGAGAAATTTAAAAACATTGTTATGGACTACACATCCCTAATTTACTTAGATTCGATGTATCTCAAGCGTTACGCTAAGAAAATCTCAGACATTTCTTTCCCCGCTCCTTTACTAATCTACCTTAATAATGAATTAATTAAATACTGGAATACTAATTTTTCTCCTGAAACAACTAAAGTATATTAATTAAAACAAATATTTTCTTTGAGAAATACCTGTCCCTTATTGGCGCCATTTTAACGTCATTCAAGACTTATAGTAGTAGAGTGTAGTAGATTAGAATATATAAATTATTTAAATATGAGGTTTATACAAAAAAAAATAAGTTCATTTGACGGTTACTTTTGTCAATGCCTCGACCTCGTCTGTGTTCCGTGAAGGACTCCTTTAATGTAAAATGCAAAAACTTTTATCCGTGGATTTTAAATTCTGAGTGCAAAAACAAACAATACTGTTACATTAAATAACTATTTAGATTATTTAAATAGTAAAGGATCTCATAAACAGACGACAGATATAATAAACTGTACTTACAGATAGAACAATAATTATTTAATTTAAATTTTCAGCTAAACCTGGCTTGTCAGCCATGGCAGTCGAACCTGGTTGGCACCATCCACAACATGGGTATGATGTTATCTATGATCGTTTCAGGATGGATGTGTGATAAGTAAGTTCATATAACATTAAAAAGTAACTTTTGTTCACTTCATACAGACTGTTATAAAAACGGTAACGGTAACTGTAACGGTAACGGTATTTTAAGGTTAAGTAGGTACCCTATAAATGACGTAAAGCAGTAATATTTTGTGAAAATACATTTTGAAACTAACAAATAATTGAAATTTGAATAGGAATTACCGAACGAAACAATTTCAATTTTATTTTAAACAAGCTTTGCCCGCTGCTCCGCTCTTGTGTATGTCGGTCGGTTATCGCAGCTAAAAGCAGCCTATTCCTTTCTAACAGTGAAAGAATTCGGATCGGATCGGATTAGTACTACCGGAGTTTACCCCGAACATTTAAACTCACAAACTTCACATCACATCACATCAACAGCCTTTAACAGTCCACTGCTGAACATAGGCCTCTCCTTAGAAAGGAGGTTTTGGCCTACTATACCACGCTGGCCAGACGAGTTGGTATAGGATTTGTGTCAAGTTTCCTTCTCTCTGCAGTGCTGTTGTCCTGCATATTTCGCTCCCTTATTCGCCTGTTACGACACCCACGGGATGAATAGGGGTGGTGACACTCTGTGTTCTTAATCCGTCACCACACGGCATGCACAAACTTCACCTCTTTATAATATTAATATACACTAGCTGGTGCCCACGACTTCGTCCGCGTGGAATTTGAAAAGCGTTGCCTTAGTGAATTCGATTCCCGGACCGGGTAAACATTTTACCCGGTCCGGGTTTTCTGATGAAAAAAGTAGCCTAAGTTACTCCTTATATAGACAGCTAACTGGTTGTAAAATATTATCAAAATCGGTGGAGCCGTTTTGAAGATTACCCGGAATAAACAGACAGACAGACAGGTAGACAAGAAATATTTGAACTGGTCATAGGTATCGTGTAAATAGCCGTGTAAACATGAACATTATTTTGACACAACCAGACACTTCAATTTTATTTATTTGTATAGATAAACTTGTAGTATCTCACAATTCGCGATTTTTTTATAAATTCATGTAATTCTTTTCGGATATTCAAAGATAGTTCGGTTTTTAACAGTAGTTCCTTTCGTTCATAATTCGTTTAATAACGATGGCTAATTCATCTGTGATTACAAATTTAAATGTAAATTGATTAAAAAAGCAGTGATTGTTTTATTTATAAACTCAAGCTAAAATCAGCTCAAGAAACGATCTGGAATAGAAACAAACTAGAAACAGGAAAATGCATTGTGTTACCTTTGCCTATTTATAGTTATATTAATTGCAATCTGTTTAAATTGTAATAATAACACTTGACTGACCTGTTACTACAACGTGTAAATAAACTTGTTTTTCAATTTACTCTCTGACTGTATTTACAATATTAAAACTGTTCAATTTATTAGCTATAAATGTTTGAATTAAGAACTTACAACAAGCCTTTAAAGGATTACTAGGAAGGAAATAATCTCGTGAACTTGGCTTGACATGCTGCCGCAACAACCTTAAGCGTTGAAATATTGCATTATGCATCCAATTGCATTGGACATTGGATTGTGTATTAAAAAAAGATTGTTAAACATGATACGTCAAAGACTTGCAATTATTTTTTATGATTATTTAACGAGGAGCAATAGCTCCAACAGATCAGGGAACCGATTATGGAGTATACGTAATGGATTAGTGATCCTGACTGCTAAACTAGAGGTTATGTGTTCGACTCCCACCGAGGACAAATAATTTTGTGATGATCGTGATCATTTATTCTGTATTTAATAATAAATAATAATAATATACCTCACACATTTCACACACTGCCGTCTGATCCCAAACTAGGCAGAGCCTGTGCTATGGTGACCAGACTGCTGATAAACATACTTATACATTTTTAAATACATACATATTATAGATAAATTACACCCAGACACAGAACAAATGATCATGCTCATCACACAATATTTGTCCTGGGTGGGAATCGAACCCACGACCTTATTTATTCTGTATTTGGGTGTAATTTATCAAAAATATGTATGTATGTAGTTGTCATAATAGGCTCAGACTTAGTCTGGGATCAGACGTGTATGAGATGTGTCAGGTTATTGTTATAATCGATACTAGCCATGGATAAGCGCGTACCTTGAGAACTGTTGTACAATTTGATTAATTCTGCCTTTTTCACATTATTTTCAGATTTGGTCGTAAACCGACACTGTTATTCTGCGTAATCGGAGGCGCTATTGGGCATATTAAAACATTCTCCACGTCATACATTATGTATGTTATTATTGAGTTTTTCGAGGCATCAATCACTGGAGGGACATATGCTGCTGCTATGGTCATATGTAAGTTTGAACATAACAATCTTGCTTTACTATTTATTTGACAAAAAAGTTATTTGCACGTTTTAAAAATATCTATACGCTATTAAATAAAAATAACAGCAGTTATGAGACCAAATGTTATAAAAAAACAATCAGTGCTCTGCAATGCAGTACTTCATTAACTTCGATTTGCTGAGTACTCGGAGCCTATTAAACATCAGAATTACCTTGTTTTTTAATTGTCTGAATACAAGTTTACACGTGCTCCATCATTTAAGAGCGTACGCTAATACCAATATTTAATGGTCATTAATTAATTAAGGTAATTACTGTTTTATACTTATAAAATAATTATTTATCCTTCATTTTGTAATTGTGTTGGTTGAGCAATGTTTATATTAGACTAGTTAACACACACAATTTCGTCTGCGTCTCTAAAAATAAAATATTCCCCGTTTTTACTATTGGTCGTGGCGTGATATTATATAGCATATAGCCTTCCTCGTAGTTTCTGAGATTAGCGCGTTCAACCAAACACATTTTTCAGGCGTTATAATATTACCATAGATGAATTTTTCCTTTATGTTGTATTTTCAGTGTGTATTTAATGTCTGAAGATTGTCACAGAAGCCTAGTTATTAAACATAAACTTATCTTCTTTGCAGTATTAGAAATAGCTGGCAAGAAATACAGAGTGTTATCAGGAGTAATCTTCGCATATGCTATATATTTCGGAGAAAGTTTGTTTGCATGTATCGCCATGCTTGTGCCGTACTGGAAGACCCTCATCCGCATCGTAAATACACCTTGCGTACTATTTACAGTCGTCTTTCTCTTCATAAATGAAAGTCCAAGATGGCAGCTCGTAAGCGGGAGACTTACACAAGCTAAAAGAATAATGAAAAAAATTGCCAGAGATAATAAAATTAATATAAATTTCGAAGAGTTAGCAAATATCAGTGACGATGAACTTAAAGAAAAGTTCGATATTAAGAGTAATGAAGTAAAAGAAAGTTTTATAAATGCCATGAAATCTAAAGAGATTACGGTGCGTTTATTGGTTTCAAGCATGGGTAGATTTACAACCAATTTTGTGTATTATGGAATGATGATAAACTCTGTGTGGCTGCCTGGAGACAAATATGTGAACTTCCTTCTATCAACGTTGATGTCTTTTCCAGGGGAGCTTATTTCCCTGTATTTGATGAACAAAATTGGAAGGAAAATGCCACTTTTAATTGGATATGTCATATGTGGAATATTGTGCATTATTTCAGCAGTAATACCAGCTCGTGAGTATTTTTCTTTTCAAAATATTAAAATAATCTGCCTCCTTGTAATTAGTTTATGGATAGTCTCTTAGAGGGCTGTCTAGGCAGGCTTGTTATAAGATTTAATATTTCTTCAATATCCTATTACATACATTTGGTGTCACATTTTACATTTCTAAATATTATATATTTCTAAATAAAAACATATTATAGATAAATTACACAGGTGTTGACGGATTAAGAATACAGGGTGTCACCACCCCTATTCATCCCGTGGGTACCGTAAGAGCCGACTAAGGGAAAAAACTACACAGAACAACAGTACTGCAGAGAGAAGGAAAACTTGACACAAACCCTATACCAACCCGTCTGGCCAGCGTGGTATAGTAGGCCAAAACCTCCTTTCCAAGGAGAGGCTTATGTCCAGCAGTGGACTATTAAAGGCTGTTGATGTGATGATGATGTATGGATATGTATGTATGTATAAATATGTATTTTGTGTGTAAATATTTATTTAATTTTACCTCTTTTATATTCATTGGTAATTAGCCTGACAAAACGCATTGTACCTTCAACCGCTAACTGTCTCTCTAAAACATTTTAATCCATCCTAAGGTTGCCTGGAAGAGGTTGCTCTTAGCAATATGGCCGCCCTTTGGACATTGCATTTATATCTATCTATCTATACCTACATTTTTATATAGTTCTATTTGTAAATCCATATTATTTACAGTTAAAAATAAAATAGCTGTTCCATGAATGACATCATGTGTGTACAAAAGAATGTGATGGATTGAATTAACTGTATGTATTGGATAAACGGTATTTGTGTACACTCAGAATAAGTTCAATTAAGGGTTGGGGCAGACAGCTCACGGCGGCGTGATGTGAGCATAACCTAATGTTAAAACAGTAGATGTCATAAAGCCACGTTACCCCGGCACTCGGTTCTAGTTATTTCAAACTCTGCGGTGTCGTTGCCATACCGCCTCGCCCGCTGTCTGTCTCAACCTGTGTTTAAAAACGATTTCAACAAGCCTTGACCTTAATATATGTGTTTAGAAACTGTTTAATCACATATAGTAGCTGTACATGGGTACAGCTACTATATGCGATTAACCGTAAGGACGTAGCACATCGACCGACTTCAAAAACACAAAAAAAGAGGTTATCAATTCGTTTGTTTTTTTCTTACTACTAACTAACGTTATTTTAACAAAATGTTTACTAAGGTAGTTACTCGTATTTCCATTTTTGTTCATTTAGATGTACTTATTATACATTTCTGCTATTCTCCTTTTGTTATTATCGTTTCTAATCTAAACTTTAACAGTCTACTTTAGCAGTTGAAGATACTAGAACTGTAATTTAATAGAGACTGAATGTTTGTTTTGGTTTTCAGAATATTTATGGGCAAAATTGACCCTTTTCTTATTGGGGAAAGTGATCATATCAGCATGCTTCACGGGAGCTATTACCTACGCTATGGAGCTGTTCCCTACAAGTGTGAGAGGCTCTCTGCTGGGGATTGCTTCATTCGCAGCTCAGTTAGGAGGGATGGTGGCGCCACTGACGCCCATACTGGTAATATTACAATATAGTTCAAAATACCTTCGGAAGTACATAAGCAAAGCCTCAAGCAAGTTTTTGCTCTCATTTAAGATATAAAAAAAATTGGTCGTAAATGGTCTTGACAGATGGATTTGGGACCAAATCTTTTTATCCCTTCACTCCAACCCGTCTGGCCAGCGTGGTATAGTAGGCCAAAACCTCCTTTCTAAGGAGAGGCCTATGTCCACTAGTGAACTGTTAAAGGCTGTTGATGATGATGATGACAATGATGAAGATGTTCTACCCTATCCTATACTACATGCTTGTCATAAATACCCACACACACAGACGACGGCACCCACACACATACACAAACACACACACAAACACAATTTAATACACAAATACACCGACAATATATGTAACATGCAAGCAAAATAAACTCTTACTGTGTACCTGATTAACACAGTAATAATCAATATAACACCCACATTACATTTTATGACCTAGTGGGAGAAAATAGTTTCAAACTATACAAAATCACTGTAATACTCGTATATAAATAAATAAAATAAATTATATTTTTAATTTTATATTTGTTGTTTTTCAGAACACGATATCAGAAGTTCTACCATTCACACTATTTGGTATCTCATCAATTTTAACGGGGTTACTTCTTTTCCTAACGCCGGAGACCAAGGATTTGCCGCTATTTGACACGATCAAGCAGGTGGAAAACAACAGAGGGAAAGTCACGATCGACAAAGACGTTACGATCACGCACTATTCCTTAGAAAATTTCTCAACCAACTCGTAAGACTGTGATTCTGATTTCATTTATTAATAAAAGCTGTGTATAAATTAAACATAAGTGGACTAGTGAATTTTTTGTTTTGTAATTAAATAGAATAATTAAATGGAAGTGCAAGTTTTTGATACTAAGTTTTATACAATTGGAATTAAATTTCAAGAAGCATTTTAATAGAAACGTGCTGTTTTATTGGCCTCGGTAAGGTCAAGACCTTTTTATCCAGAGTTTCACTTTGTATCTTTCAATCGTTTCTTTGTGTTCTTTTTTGTATTTAAACCGACGATCGACGCGTGTCTGCCGCCGCGGATTCTATAGATCTGAAACGAAGCCTTGTTTCTACTCGGAGCAAAATGAACGAAAATATATTAACATTGTTTAGAGAAGAAGTGGCAGATGAACTTCTGATGTTATCAAAGGCAAGATAAAAAAAACAATATTCATAAAATCGTAATCGTAAGTCATAAAGCCGACCCACATAAATTGTTGTTTGATACATCGAACAAGATAGTGTTATATCATATAAAAATAAATAACAATTCTTCCTTATTAAAACTCATTTTAAACTCAAGACGCCGCGGCGTGCGCCGGTCGCTGTAAGGCCCGGGGTTCTCTGAACGTCGGTCATGACCGACGACCGACCAAATGCTATGTACGTTTCTCAGAAACGTCGCTGGCGGTGGACAGTGCGAGCAGACAAGGTCGCATTTTTCTATACCTTTCGCCAGTCTGGCGCTAGCGTAAGCATAATCATAAGTCGCAGTGGATTTGTAAATTAGTCACAAGTGTGATTATATAATTAATAAATCATATTATTATATTATGATTTATAATAGATGATTGTGATTTTATTCCATCCGTAATCACGACCGAATCCTGAGAACAAACTCGATCGCGGCCATAATATTCTCAGAATTTGGAGAAGGGTCTCTAATAACCTCATTCAATAATTATAGAAATGTTTAACAATAGTTTTCTGTGAGGCCGTGGTATCTCTCCAGTCGAGAAGCATAACTCTAAGACAACCGTAGGCCTATTTAATTGATACAAAAACCACGAGCAATCGTTATGACAATATTTTTAATTAGAAGAACATCTTTTAATTGACTAATAAAAGCTCTTCATAAATTGATGTCACACAGTATTGACTACGAACGTTTAAGTGGTGCGCGTCCCGAGCCACCAGTTTTCAAGTTCTTATTAATACCAAGAAAAGTCTGTGATATTTGAGCTGTGAGTTCCTAAGACTGAATGAATTCACTTAAATAGTGTTTTATATATTTGACTTTATTATATTTGTAACAAAAAGTGAAAATAAGACAATTATAGTTTAATTGTTGTTTAAATAACCGTGATAATTTCAGAAAGATAAAAGTTATTAATAGAGATAGTGATGTAGAAAAAGAGGAAAACGCTTACATATCCTTTTGATTGCAGTTTTAAGTTTCACCAAACAACACGTGAGCGATATTGTGTAGAAACGTTAGGAAAAATTATGAAATTAGACATTATAATTAACTGTCTGAATATATATATAGGTAGTATAGAAAGAAAACATCAGAGTTGTGACAAAAGAAGGATTTATGTATTTTTCTAAAAAGAGTATAAATACAGACCTTTTTTGAGCGGTTAATTAATAAATAAAGAGAAGCCCAAAATCGATCTAAGTGACGACGTGCAATGGGAGAGGCCTATGTCCAGCAGTGGACTGCGATAGGCAGATGATGATGATGATGATGATGATAATTAATAAATTTTCTACCTTTTCTACGGTTGTTATTATTTTCTAGCAATCAATAGACAGTATGTCTAGCTAAAATAAAATTAGGAAAAAAAGGGAAGGAACTGATGATGACGATATTCCCCATTGATTGCTGGAAAATAATAACAATCGTGGAAAAGGTAGCAAATTTATTAATTAAACTAAATGTACCCTCCTGTGGCACATTATAGTTGTATTGATGAGAAATGAAGAACAAAACTAAAAAAGAAAATTAGATAAAAACCATTTTTGAAGCAGTTTTTATATCGTGTTAAAAATATATGAAGTTACCAATTTAACATTTTTATATCTGTAGATCACTTACTACAATCAAGATTATTTATCATGCCTTATCTCATATGTAATTTCTAATGTTTTAGAAGAACACCAGACGTTTCCTCAGTTGTATCTAACTGTAAAACGAAATAAACCTTAACAAATATAATGCTTATAGCATAATCTGATATCATACTATTTAAACGTATGAACAATGTTGGTTATAGAATTATGTTGCCTATTTGTGTAATATCTGAACACACTGAACATTTGTCTACAGAACATTTTCATTACAGACTAGATGTAATTAAATATCTTATGATAAATAAAGTAAACAATGTTATTTATTCGGAATTAGTTTATATACCTACATACAATTATTACTTCGGTTTTACTTGTTGAATATTTTTAATGCTGTTTGTTCATCTTCATTAAACTTTAATTTGTGTTTCTTTAGTTATGCGTTTAAGTTATGATATAATAACTTGCGTCTCGCAGGGAGCTATGCTGGTGCCAACATGTATTTAAAATAGCAGTGAATCTTTGAGAAATATCTGATTCTTAAGAATAACTCTTCATCAACAGCCTATAATAGTTCACTGCTGGACATGGCTTCTCCTTAGAAAGGAGGTTTTGGCCTACTATACCACGCTGGCCAGACGGGTTGGTATAGGGTTTGTTTCAAATTTTCCTTCTCTTTGCAGTGCTGCTGTCCTGCTTAGTTTGCGAAGAATAACTCTAAGTATTGCTATTAATACAGGCTAGTACCTTTTTTTATAACGCGAGGTTTGCTTTTCGCACTATACCCTCGTTGGGAAAACGGAGGGCGTGTGGGACTATCGGAAAACCGGTATACCCTCTAAGCCCCGCGGCGACCTACCTCGTCAACCAAGACGAGCTCCAGGAACGCATCGGCGGCTTCTGGCGTCCTCCCTGCTATGCCATGACTGAGGCACATCCCGAGGTGACTATAATCACTGATGATGCTTTAGGATGCTGCCGGGCCTCTCACTGTTGTACACACCTTAATTTTCTACCTTTTGTAGAGAACGGAAGAACGGTTTTTAACAATATTATTATACAACATTGTACAACAAGTATAAGCTACAAACATATATGGGTATACAACGTAAATAACGACACGTACGAGATTTTTTGATAGCACTAAACGTGTATAAATGTAATTAATATTTAACTTTCATTATCATTGTAAGACACCTATTGTTAGCAGTCTACTGAACTCTATTGAAAACAGTAACACAGTCCCTATTTAAGAAAATATGAATCAGAACAAAAGTGTAATCAGTTTATAAAAAAAAGTTTAATGAAGCGAAAAACAATAAGACTTAAAATGCAAACGTATTAAGAACTGGGAAGAACCATTACAAAATAGATACTTTAGATAAAGATACTTTTGTAATTCAAAATGGTAGCTGCAAAAGAAAAGAATGCGAAGATATGTGACATAACAGATTTGATGGAGACGTTTGGGAAATACCAGATTATCCAGTATATCCTACTATGTCTGCCAGCGACATTCATTACAATGATTAGTATCAACTATGTCTTTGCAGTTGGAGACGTCAATTACAGGTAGGTACACAATGTTTTTCTTTAGTCTTATGATAGTGATAATTTTACCCATCGTATCTCATAACAAATATATAACTTAATTCAAACGTAGTGACACGAATTTACCAATTCTAGACGTGGGCTGTGGTACCCTTTTTAAAATATACTCCTCACAAAAATTAAGGGAACAAAAGTTTAATAAGTGAAAATGGACGTATCAAAAATCTAAAAATAAGCATTAACAGTTTTTGGATCCTTGGTTAAATAAATTTTAGGTTCTACGTTTTCAACACAATCCAGCGAAATAACGCAAAAAAATTCAAAACTTTTAGTTTTGTCGCTCCGCGGGCTTGGGTTTTTTTAACCAGATAGCTTGTTTATTTAGCTTTAATTTTCTTTTTTGATCCTTGCTACGTCCATTTGTGAGCGGATACATCTGAAATTGAACAAAAAAACTGATCGGTTTGAAACTATGGCCAACCATAGCAATGACATTTTGCCAACTACAATTTCGTCTGACTACACTAATAGGGGCTAATCCTTTGCTGTAAAATGGGTACTTTGGGAATTACAGTTGAAATATTGAGAAATTAATAAAAAAAGAAAACAATAAAAGGAACGGTATATCGCTAATACGGGATTGGAGAGTTCATGCAGCTCAGGGCTAAATTAAATAGAATTTTGCATGCAATTCCAAGCGCTACGTAAGAATGTATGGCATGAGCAGTTAAAACATTCTAAGATTACAGAATCTTAGAATCTTAGAACATCAAATGTTAGTTACATTCATTGCCTCTTACAACAAGAGTATATTCAGATAATTGAAACTATTTATAGTCAAATGATAGGAACGAATGTTATTATAGGCAAACTGATATTTTAATAAGTTTTAATAGTTTTCATTTTTAGTTTCTATAAAATTTTATTCGTAGGTGTCGAATCGATAAATGCGACGATGCTAATTCAACCGCAGAGTTCCCTAGTTGGTGGCCTGATACAAATATAGACAGATGTTCTAAGCCAGTGCTCAAAATAGGGGAGGATGTTTGTACCAATCACAGCTTTACCGGGGAACTAAAAACGTGTGATCACTGGATTTACGAAAATAACAACACTGTTATTGCTGAGGTAACTTTGAAAATACACATTTTTGAAACTCGTTTTATCTTTGATTTAAGAAGACTTTGTCTTATAAGTCAGTCATATCATCATACTTGACGAAACGACATTAAGATTATTAAGAAATTTCTCATTCTTCATGAAGATCGTGTCTAATTTGAGACTTCTTTGTGGATGATCTCTCATCTTTCTTCAGCCGATATTTTTCACTAGTTTTAGACCACTACTGCCAATAACCTTTGCACACTATGTTTTGAGAGTTGATTCAAGTTCGACGCACCATCTTAAGGAAATGATGCGTACCGATGGCAGATCTAAACAACGCAGTTTAATGATCAATGACAAAACTATTCACAAAAATAAATCGATGACTTTAACAGTTAATGTTTTATTTTTAAATTTCCAGTTTGATTTGGCCTGCCAGCCATGGAAGTCAAACCTAGTTGGTACCATCCACTGTATGGGAATGTTGATATCTATGATCATATCTGGATGGATGACGGATAGGTAAAGATCTCAAAACTTAATTAAAAAATCTCTCATAAATCATAGCAGTATATCTACAGGAAATGTATAAATCATTATTGTATATTGTTTAATATTTATCTCAATATCATCCAAACGAATATAAACCATACCACCATATTCTTTAATTCCTGTTTCACTTATTGAGAGTGGGTTTTACTCCTACATTAATCTTAACATCATCGTTATTTTAATTTATTAATATAATTTAAAAATAATTAAATTTTTAGGTTCGGTCGCAAGCCTACCCTGATATTTTGCGTGGTAGGAGGAACTATTGGTAGTATCAAAACCTTCGCTACCTCGTACTATATGTACGTAACTATTGAGTTTTTAGAAGCATCAGTTACTGGAGGATCTTATTCCGCTGCAATGATTATATGTAAGTCGTGCAATACTAAATTTATTTACCATTGAAATTAATCCAAGACTTCATTTAAAACTGAAAGTTGTGGGAGAGCTAAGCATTGACACTATGAGTTGGCTCGACTAGGGTAATACCAGGGCCTGACAGATAACCGTTGTTAGCAGTTCTTATGTTACTTTTCACCGAGTAAATGAGTTTTTTTGATTCCCTGCGCCTTACTCTAAGAGGAAGACTCAAAAGGTGACAACGGACTTGTGACTCTTGAGTTATAGATGTCTGTGGGCGACGGTAGTTACTTAGTTACCAGGGGTATCCAGTCTCGTCCTGCGGGTATCCTGTCCCGTCCCGGGGCTGCCCTGTCTACTCGTTTAATTCTTATATTTAAAAAGAAACTTACAGAAGTGTTCAAATAGAGAGTAATAACTCGTTTGCTCCTTATATTTAAAAAGAAACTTACAGAAGTGTTCAAATAGTGAGTAATATCTTGTAGAAAATGAAATCCATTTTTGCTTCGTTAACATTTCTGCTTCATTAAAAAAAATGACTTTCTTTTTTCAGTATTAGAGATTGTGGGCACGAAATATCGAGTTTTATCAGGAGTAGTATTTTCCTACGCTATTTATTTTGGCGAGAGTTTATTCGCATGTATAGCGATGTTTGTACCTTACTGGAAAACTCTCATCCGCATCATTAATGGCCCTTGCATATTCTTTATAATCCTCATCTTCTTCGTCAATGAAAGCCCTAGATGGCAAATCGTCAGTGGAAGGACGGAGAAAGCTAAAAAACTAATGAAAAAAATTGCCGAAGTTAATAGAATTAGTATTAACAATGAAGAATTAGAAAATATTGATGAAGTTAAACTAAAAGAAAAGTTTAATATTGCAAATAGTGAAGTGAAAGAAAGTATCACACACGCTTTTAAATCTAAGGAAATCATGAAAAGATTGTTAGTAGCGGGTGTATCCAGATTTACGTGTAGTTTCGTATACTATGGAATGATGATAAACTCAGTGTTCCTACCAGGTGATAAATACATAAACTTTTTACTCTCTACGGTGATGTCTTTTCCAGGAGAGTTACTCTCCTTATATTTAATGAACAAAATAGGAAGAAAAATTCCGTTGCTGGCTGGATATTCAATATGTGGTACAATGTGCATCATTTCAGCTTTAATACCAGAAGGTATTACAGTTTTTTTTTATTCTCTTATTTTATACATTATATATGCTATGGACGTCTCTGAATCTGTTCATTATATCTTTGTGAAGGGTCAAAAGTCAAAATTCAACTTATCTAAAATCAGGATGTCTGGAAATTCTGATCTAGAAACACCATTAACCGCATGGATGACGTAGTGGTTTGAGCAGTCACTTCGCCGCTTCCTACTGCGCTGAGTGTTGTGGGTTCTATCCACAAATTGTTGTCCACGGCTGGGTATTCTTTGTGTCCGTTTCATGTATACTATTTTTGTAAAGGGCGACACGAGATACATTCTTAGTGAGGGAGTTGACTTTAAAAGAAAGAAGAAAAATAAGACATTTCATTGACAATTCATCAAAAAAGGCCTTTCCTGAGCGATACCTGAATGCGAAGACTGATTTTTAACTTAAAAGAGAATTATTGTTTATTGGCTAAGAGATTTTTGGCACCCTATGTTCACTAAATCTATATTATTTGCACTCAGGATACAAGTGGGTGAAGCTGGCGATGTTTTTGATTGGAAAAGTGATAATATCGTCCTGTTTTACTGGCGCAATCACTTACGCCATGGAGTTATTTCCAACTAGTGTGAGAGGTTCACTCCTAGGACTTGGATCGTTTTGCTCTCGGATAGGTGGAATGCTGGCACCTCTTACGCCAATTCTGGTAACTAGCTATATCAGTTATATATTATAAGTAGTCAAGTATTTCCAAAAGAACTCAATAGGTTTTTTGGACTAACAATAAAAGATTAAATGACAGAGGAAACCTGATGACGTTAAAACTACACAAACCATTGGCTTAGAGGAGTTTCACTTTTCATAACTTTTTATGCCCAAAGACACCTAATAAACCTAAGCAGGACAACATTGCAAAGAGAAAGGAAAACTTGAAACAAATCCTATACCAAACCGTCTGCCCAGTGTGGTATAGTAGACCAAAACCTCCTTTCTACGGAGAGGCCTATGTCCAGCCTGTGGACTAGTAAAGGCTGTTGATGATGATGATGATGAAGAAAGTTACTTACGCAATAACTACATACATATATGTACATGGTTCGATAAAACATTATTTTGTCCCCACTTTAACTTCCTTCCTTTTTACTTGTATTTTTTCTCTTTTTCAGAATACAGTATCAGAAGTTATTCCATTCGTATTATTTGGCTGCTCTTCATTTATAGCGGCTCTTCTTCTCACATTGACTCCAGAGACCAAGGATTTGCCGCTCTTCGACACTATTAGGCAGGTCGAAAACCACGTTAAATGTAAAATGACCACGGAAAAGAATGTAGTGACGGACTGTTCCAATGACGATGCAGTTAAAAATAATAATGACGTTTAGACCCTACTTCAAGATGTAAAATAAACCATTTAAATTGTAATGTTTTTTTAAATTACTTTATTATTTTTTTGTTACATAATTTAATATCGATGTAGTCTACCAAATTGCCGCAGGAGCGGAGGCTGCATAAGCTTTCAGGCTTGGAATTGAATATACATTGTCGGCCAGTTTTTTGAAGGCTGGATACTTCTTTTCAAGGTCTGGCATTCGTAAGATCTCTTTTAAGTAGTCCAACATTCCAGCGAAGTGTAAATCTCCCCAGGTTAACTGCAAAGTTATTGCTTATTTAAGTTATATAACTTTAACCAAAAGCTTAAAATATTAAATAAGCACAAGCTTATTTAATATCTTAAGGTTGAAGAAATTAAAAACATAATAATTTAAGTCGGATAAAACATCATAAGCATTCTCGGTCACCTCGCAAAATATTCATGATATTTGATTTACGTATAGTTGTAAGCGCTATTTCGGAGTTCTAATCTAGACACTTGATAAAAATGAACAGAACGAATGCTAACCTAAGAACAGATCTTGCAACAGACTTAATGCTGAAAAATATTAGTTTTACTTGTCACTGCGTTTGCTTTACCGTTTGCACCATTTAATCACTAAATATTTCCATATTTAATACTGGGCTAGTTTCAGAAAGATAAAAGTTATTAATAGAGATAGTGATGTACAAAAAGAGGAAAACGCTTACATATCCTTTTGATTGCAGTTTTAAGTTTCACCGTGAAAACAACACGTGAGCGATGTTGTGTAGAAACGTTAGGAAAAATTATGAAATTAGACATTATAATTAACTGTCTAAATACATATATGTATAGGTAGGTAGTATAGAAAGAAAACATCAGAGTTGTGACAAAAGAAGGATTGATGTATTTTTCTAAAAAGAGTATAAATACAGACCTTTTTTGAGCGGTTAATTAATAAATTTTCTACCTTTTCTACGGTTGTTATTATTTTCTAGCAATCAATAGACAGTATGCGTCGCTAAAATAAAATTAGGAAAAAAAGGGAAGGAACTGATGATGACGATATTCTCTATTGATTGCTGGAAAATAATAACAATCGTGGAAAAGGTAGCAAATTTATTAATTAAACTAAATGTACCCTCCTGTGGCACATTATAGTTGTATTGATGAGAAATGAAGAACAAAACTAAAAAGGAAAAATAGATAAAAACCATTTTTGAAGCAGTTTGTATATCGTGTTAAAATTTGAGATCAAAAACTTTTTTGAGTTTATGAAGTTACCAATTTAACATGTTTATATCTGTAGATCACTTACTACAATCAAGATTATTAATCATGCCTTATCTCATATTTAATTTCTAATGTTTTAGAACAACACCAGACTTTTCCTCAGTTGTATCTAACTGTAAAACGAAATAAACCTTAACAAATATAATGCTTATAGCATAATCTGATATCATACTATTTAAACGTATGAACAATGTTGGTTATAGAATTATGTTGACTATTTGTGTAATATCTGATTGTCTACAGAACATGTTCATTACAGACTAGATGTAATTAAATATCTTATGATAAATAAAGTAAACAATGTTATTTATTCGGAATTAGTTTATATACCTACATACAATTATTACTCCGGTTTTACTTGTTGAATATTTTTAATGCTGTTTGTTCATCTTCATTAAACTTTAATTTGTGTTTCTTTAGTTATACGTTTAAGTTATGATATAATAACTTGCGTCTCGCAGGGAGCTATGCTGGTGCCAACATGTATTCAAAATAGCAGTGAATCTTTGAGAAATATCTGATTCTTAAGAATAACTCTTCATCAACAGCCTATAATAGTCCACTGCTGGACATGGCCTCTCCTTAGAAAGGAGGTTTTGGCCTACTATACCACGCTGACCAGACGGGTTGGTATAGGTTTCAAGTTTTCCTTCTCTTTGCAGTGCTGTTGTCCTGCTTAGTTTGCGAAGAATAACTCTTAGTATTGCTATTAATACAGGCTAGTACCTTTTTTTTTTATAACGCGACTTTTGCTTTTCGCACCATACCCTCTTTGGGAAAACGGAGGGCGTGTGGGACTATCGGAGAACCGGTATACCCTCTAACCCGGCAGCCAAGACGAGCTCCAGGAACGCATCGGCGGCTTCTGGCGTCCTCCCTGCTATGCCATGACTGAGGCACATCCCGAAGTGACTATAATCACTGATGATGCTTTAGGACGCTGCCGCGCCACTCACTACACATTTAAATTTTCTACCTTTTGGAGAGAACGGTTTTTAACAATATTATAATACAACATTGTACAACAGGTATAAGCTACAAACATATATAGGTATACAACGTAAATACAGACACGTACGAGATTTTTTGATAGCACTAAACGTGTATAAATGTAATTAATATTTAACTTTCATTATCATTGTAAGACACCTATTGTTAGCAGTCTACTGAACTCTATTGAAAACAGTAATACAGTCCCTATTTAAGAAAATATGAATCAGAACAAAAGTGTAATCAGTTTATAAAAAAAGTTTAATGAAGCGAAAAACAATAAGGCTTAAAATGCAAACGTATTAAGAACTGGGAAGAAACATTACAAAATAAAGAAAAGATACTTTTGTAATTCAAAATGGTAGCCGCAAAAGAAAAGAATGTGAAGATATGTGACATAACAGATTTGATGGAGACGTTTGGGAAATACCAGATTATCCAGTATATCCTACTATGTCTGCCAGCGACATTCATCACAATGATTAGTATCAACTATGTCTTTGCAGTTGGAGACGTCAATTACAGGTAGGTACACATTTTTTTTCTTTAGTCTTATGATAGTGATAATTTTACCCATCGTATCTCATAACAAATATATAACTTAATTCAAACGTAGTGACACGAATTTACCAATTCTAGACGTGGGCTGTGGTACCCTTTTTAAAATATACTCCTCACAAAAATTAAGGGAACAAAAGTTTAATAAGTGAAAATGGACGTATCAAAAATCTAAAAATAAGCATTAACAGTTTTTGGATCCTTGGTTAAATAAATTTTAGGTTCTACGTTTTCAACACAATCCAGCGAAATAACGCAAAAAAATTCAAAACTTTTAGTTTTGTCGCTCCGCGGGCTTGGGTTTTTTTAACCAGATAGCTTGTTTATTTAGCTTTAATTTTCTTTTTTGATCCTTGCTACGTCCATTTGTGAGCGGATACATCTGAAATTGAACAAAAAAGGAACTGATCGGTTTGAAACTATGGCCAACCGTAGCAATGACATTTTGCCAACTACAATTTCGTCTGACTACACTAATAGGAGCTAATCCTTTGCTGTAAAATGGGTACTTTGGGAATTACAGTTGAAATATTGAGAAATTAATAAAAAAAGAAAACAATAAAAGGAACGGTATATCGCTAATACGGGATTGGAGAGTTCATGCAGCTCAGGGCTAAATTAAATAGAATTTTGCATGCAATTCCAAGCGCTATGTAAGAATGTATGGCATGAGCAGTAAAAACATTCTAAGATTACAGAATCTTAGAATCTTAGAACATCAAATGTTAGTTACATTCATTGCCTCTTACAACAAGAGTATATTCAGATAATTGAAACTATTTATAGTCAAATGATAGGAACGAATGTTATTATAGGCAAACTGATATTTTAATAAGTTTTAATAGTTTTCATTTTTAGTTTCTATAAAATTTTATTCGTAGGTGTCGAATCGATAAATGCGACGATGCTAATTCAACCGCAGAGTTCCCTAGTTGGTGGCCTGATACAAGTATAGACAGATGTTCTAAGCCAGTGCTCAAAAGCGGGGAGGATGTCTGTACCAATCACAGCTTTACCGGGGAACTAAAAACGTGTGATCACTGGATTTACGAAAATAACAACACTGTTATTGCTGAGGTAACATTGAAAATACACATTTTTGAAACTCGTTTTATCTTTGATTTAAGAATAAGACTTTGTCTTATAAGTCAGTCATATCATCACACTTGACGAAACGACAGTAAGATTATTAAGAAATTTCTCATTCTTCACGAAGATCGTGTCTAATTTGAGACTTCTTTGTGGATGATCTCTCATCCTTTCTTCAGCCGATTTTTCCATTAGTTTTAGACCACTACTGCCAATAACCTTGGCACACTATGTTTTTATAGTTGATTCAAGTTCGACGCACCATCTTAAGGAAAAGATGCGTACCGATGGCAGATCTAAACAACGCAGTTTAATGATCAATGACAAAATTATTCACAAAAATAAATCGATGACTTTAACAGATAATGTTTTTTTTTTTAATTTACAGTTTGATTTGGCCTGCCAGCCATGGAAGTCAAACCTAGTTGGTACCATCCACTGTATGGGAATGTTGATATCTATGATCATATCTGGATGGATGACGGATAGGTAAAGATCTCAAAACTTAATTAAAAAATCTCTCATAAATCATAGTAGTATATCTACAGGAAATGTCTAAATCATTATTGTATATTGTTTAATATTTACCTCAATATCATCCAAACAAATATAAACCACACCACCATATTCTTTAAATCCTGTTTCACTTATTGAGAGTGGGTTTTACTCGTACATTAATCTTAATATCATCGTTAGTTTAATTTATTAATATAATTTAAAAATAATTAAATTTTTAGGTTCGGTCGCAAGCCTACCCTGATATTTTGCGTGGTAGGAGGAACTATTGGTAGTATCAAAACCTTCGCTACCTCGTACTATATGTACGTAACTATTGAGTTTTTAGAAGCATCAGTTACTGGAGGATCTTATTCCGCTGCAATGATTATATGTAAGTCGTGCAATTTTCACCGAGTAAATGAGTTTTTTGGATTCCCAGCCCCTTACTCTAAGAGGAAGACTCAAAAGGTGACAACAGACTTGTGACTCTTGAGTTATAGATGTCTGTGGGCGACGGTAGTTACTTAGTTACCAAGGGTATCCCGTCTCGTCCTGCGGGTGTCCTGTCCCATCCCGGGGCTGCCCTGTCTACTCGTTTACTTCTTATATTTAAAAAGAAACTTACAGAAGTGTTCAAATAGAGAGTAATAACTCGTTTGCTCCTTATATTTAAAAAGAAACTTACAGAAGTGTTCAAAAAGTGAGTAATATCTTGTAGAAAATGAAATCCATTTTTGCTTCGTTAACATTTCTGCTTCATTAAAAAATTGACGTTCTTTTTTCAGTATTAGAGATTGTGGGCACGAAATATCGAGTTTTATCAGGAGTAGTATTTGCCTACGCTATTTATTTTGGAGAGAGTTTATTCGCATGTATAGCGATGTTTGTACCTTACTGGAAAACTCTCATCCGCATCATTAATGACCCTTGCATATTCTTTATAATCCTCATCTTCTTCGTCAATGAAAGCCCTAGATGGCAAATCGTCAGTGGAAGGACGGAGAAAGCTAAAAAACTAATGAAAAAAATTGCCGAAGTTAATAGAATTAGTATTAACAATGAAGAATTAGAAAATATTGATGAAGTTAAACTAAAAGAAAAGTTTAATATTGCAAATAGTGAAGTGAAAGAAAGTATCACACACGCTTTTAAATCTAAGGAAATCATGAAAAGATTGTTAGTAGTGGGTGTATCCAGATTTACGTGTAGTTTCGTATACTATGGAATGATGATAAACTCAGTGTTCCTACCAGGTGATAAATACATAAACTTTTTACTCTCTACGGTGATGTCTTTTCCAGGAGAGTTACTCTCCTTATATTTGATGAACAAAATAGGAAGAAAAATTCCGTTGCTGGCTGGATATTTAATATGTGGTACAATGTGCATCATTTCAGCTTTAATACCAGAAGGTATTACAGTTTTTTTTTTATTCTCTTATTTTATACATTATAATATATATTATGCTATGGACGTCTCTGAATCTGTTCATTATATCTTTGTGAAGGGTCAAAAGTCCAAATTCAACTCATCTAAAATCAGGATGTCTGGAAATTCTGATCTAGAACAACCATTGGTTAATGGTTGGCATGGATGACGTAGTGGTTTGAGCAGTCACTTCGCCGCTTCCTCCTGCGCTGAGTGTTGTGGGTTCTATCCACAAATTGTTGTCCACGGCTGGGTATTCTTTGTGTCCGTTTCATGTATACTATTTTTGTAAAGGGCGACACGAGATACATTCTTAGTGAGGGAGTTGACTTTAAAAGAAAGAAGAAAAATAAGACATTTCATTGACAATTCATCAAAAAAGGCCTTTCCTGAGCGATACCTGAATGCGAAGACTGATTTTTAACTTAAAAGACAATTATTGTTTGTTGACTAAGAGGTTTTTGGGACCCTATGTTCACTAAATCTATATTATTTGCACTCAGGATACAAGTGGGTGAAGCTGGCGATGTTTTTGATTGGAAAAGTGATAATATCGTCCTGTTTTACTGGCGCAATCACTTACGCCATGGAGTTATTTCCAACTAGTGTGAGAGGTTCACTCCTAGGACTTGGATCGTTTTGCTCTCGGATAGGTGGAATGCTGGCACCTCTTACGCCAATTCTGGTAACTAGCTATATCAGTTATATATTATAAGTAGTCAAGTATTTCCAAAAGAACCCAAAAGGTTTTTTGGATTAACAAGAAACGATTAAATGACAGAGGAAACCTGATGACGTTAAAACTACACAAACCATTGGCTTGGAGGAGATTCACATTTCATAACTTATTATGCCCAAAGACACCTGATAAACCTAAGCAGGACAACATTGCAAAGAGAAAGGAAAACTTGAAACAAATTCTATACCAACCCGTCTGCCCAGTGTGGTATAGTAGACCAAAACCTCCTTTCTAAGGAGAGGCCTATGTCCAGCCTGTGGACTACTAAAGGCTGTTGATGATGATGATGATGAAGAAAGTTACTTACGCAATAACTACATACATATATGTACATGGTTCGATAAAACATTATTTTGTCCCCACTTTAACTTCCTTCCTTTTTACTTGTATTTTTTCTCTTTTTCAGAATACAGTATCAGAAGTTATTCCATTCGTATTATTTGGCTGCTCTTCATTTATAGCGGGTCTTCTTCTCACATTGACTCCAGAGACCAAGGATTTGCCGCTCTTCGACACTATTAGGCAGGTCGAAAACCACGTTAAATGTAAAATGACCACTCAAAAGAATGTAGTGACGGACTGTTCCAATGACGATGCAGTTAAAAATAATAATGACGTTTAGACCCTACTTCAAGATGTAAAATAAACCATTTAAATTGTAATATTTTTTTAATTACTTTATTCTTTTTTTGTTACATAATTCAATATTGATGTAGTCTACCAAATTGCCGCAGGAGCGGAGGCTGCATAAGCTTTCAGGCTTGGAATTGAATATACATTGTCGGCCAGTTTTTTGAAGGCTGGATACTTCTTTTCAAGGTCTGGCATTCGTAAGATCTCTTTTAAGTAGTCCAACATTCCAGCGAAGTGTAAATCTCCCCAGGTTAACTGCAAAGTTATTGCTTATTTAAGTTATATAACTTCAACCAAAATCTTAAAATATTAAATAAGCACAAGCTTATTTAATATCTTAAGGTTGAAGAAATTAAGAACATAATAATTTAAGTCGGATACCACATCATAAGTATTCTCGATAACCTCGCAAAATATTCATAATATTTGATTTACGTATAGTTGTAAGCGCTATTTCGGAGTTCTAATCTAGACACTTGATAAAAATGAACAGAACGAATGCTAACCTAAGAACAGATGTTGCAACAGACTTAATGCTGAAAAATATTAGTTTTACTTGTCACTGTGTTTGCTTGCTTTGCTAATGCACCATTTAATCACTAAATATTTCCATATTTAATACTGGGCTAGTTAGCAAATAATAATTATTGAAATTTAGAGAATTTTAATAATAATTATTTGCTAACTAGCCCAAGTTATCAATTTATTAATGGTAGCTAATATATATTAGTAATTTCTCGAAATCCAGAGTTCTATTTTAACATTTCGTCTTCTTTTGACAGTTACCTTTCCAAGGGCAATATGTCCGTTATTCTTCTCAATGATCTCGTTCAGCTTCTTCAACTGATCTGGATATAGTTTAGAGTTTTCCTCGTGTTTCTTCTCCTTTATAATCGGGTCCGGCTCCCAATATGTATTCGCGGCTCCTGTCAAATTTAGTTTCATGTTAATGCTTGCAATTGCTATGGCTACCCTAAGACATAGAAGTTCTAAAAGTGTTTATCATTTGCATTTTCGAAAATTCGCCACAAGCTTGTGTCAGTTTCAAAACGTTAGTTTACGATTGATGATTGGAAAGAATGAGAGCATTTTTAGGGTTCGTTTAATTTCCTTTCTGAATATTTGACTGAATAAAAAAATAAAAAATTCTCCCCTTCGTACAAGCTGGCAGATTATACCTTTGGCACATTGGGGTACCTAATCAACAATATTTGATAAGTATTACCATGTCCGTGTGGTGACGGATTAAGAATACGGAATGTCACCACCCCTATTCAACCCGTGGGTGTCGTAAGAGCCGACTAAGGGAGCAAACTGCACAAGACAACAGCACTGCAAAAAGAAGGAAAACTTGAAACAAACCCTATACCAACCCGACTGGCCAGCGTGGTATAGTAGGCCAAAACCTCCTCTTATAAATCTAATATAAATCCTCACAACGTAAATCTCAATTTTAGCATCATGGCCTCTCCGCCCATGATTTACGTCATACTTTAATACTTACTGTAACGAATGTCGTAGAGGAAATCAACGTTTTGGTCAATCTCGAGCGCTTCCTCATCATTGTCTCCAGCAAGGCCATACTTCTTACCCAGATAGCGGCAGATGGCCAAGCATGTGGCGTATTGCTTGCCATCAATTTCCAAAACTGGTAGAAAGCCAAAGGGTGTATCTGAAATAATATTATACAGTCAGGTCCACACATTTTTAACTACACACACTCCGTGAAAAGCAATGAAGTAATTCCTTAACAACAGTTCTCTGTGAGGCCGTGTTGTCCCTCCAGTCAAGCTGTTCTGTTTGTACCTAAACAGAGCTCTCCCACGGTTAAGATTATGTTATACCACCACCATATTCATACAACACAATCTAGTCCCAAACTGAGCAGAGCTTGTACTATAAGTACTAAACAACTGATATAAATAAATATATACTTTTTTTTTGTAAATACATACTTATTTTACATGGAAACAACCAGACCAAATCAAACATTAAATGTTCATGCACACAAATGTTTGACTTGAGCTTAAATCGAACCCGCGACCTTTGGAATAGCAGTCCGTTACATAAACCACTTCGCCATCCGGTCGTCGTATACGGTATTCGTCGTACGTCGTATATGACATTGATTGAAGATGAATTGAATTGAAGATTATAAGACTCCTCCTAAGACCTATACGACCTTTCAAAAGAGATACCTATGTCCCGCAGTGAACTATTAAAGGCTGATGAAAAAGATTTTAAGATGTTTACTCTACACTACACGTATGACAGACACAGCGACACATAAGAATCCCACATAAAAATTATTCGTCAGGGGTTTAATATGATAATTTGAATTCGACCCGGGCCTAACCGAAAGTATACCCTTTATAAATAAACATTCCCAAATCGGTGCATGACCGAAGGTGTCCTGAGAAAATGAACATAAAGAACCTCCTTTCCCTAAAGTCAGTTTTAAACTAAGTTCTCGCCGCCATACTAAGAATATGAAAAAAAGTTACTTACTGGGTTTTACTTGAGGCCATTCTTGGAAAGTAACCCGGATGTCTTTGAACTTCTGACCACCATAAGCCAACAGTAACCGCGGACCCTCACCCACAGCTTTGACGTCGAAATAAGTGAATTTCACGTCCGGCATTTTACTGAAAATTTTAGCATATAACATATATCATAAGTTAATTTAGTGGCCAGAGTTTATACTCTCTTAAGACGTAAAAAGAATGAATTATTGTGTGATAAATGTTTGCATAGTATGGGATGCCCTTATGCAATGAAAACATAATTTAAGGAGAGGCCTATGTCCAGCTATTAAAGGCTGTTGATGTGATACGAGACAAGCCGAACTAAGTGGGTATTACTGACCCAGACCAGTTGCCTTTATTATGTTTAAGTTTCCTTTCCCATTTTTTTCCGTTTTTCTTGTTTAACTTTCCGCGTGGTGACGGATTAAGAATACAGAGTGTCACCACCCCTATTCATCCGGTGGGTGTCGTAAGAGGCGACTAAGGAAGCAAACTACGCAGGACAACAGCACTGCAGAGAGAAGGAAAACTTGAAACAAACCCTATACCAACCCGTCTGGCCAGCGTGGTATAGTAGGCCAAAACCTCCTTTCTGAGGAGAGGCCTATGTCCAGCAGTGGATTAGTAAAGGCTGTTGATGTGATGTTTAAGTGTATCTCGAGTAAAAGGCTTGTGGCTAAGAGGTATCCGAGTACAAAGTTTATGTTGTGGAGGTCTGGCAGTCGCTTTGCGTGAAAAATTGTAATACAAACGTATTGTAGTGGACTTAAAGCCGACCTAGTTTAGGAAAAAAGATCTTAGGAAGAACTAAGAAGTACCTCAATATTGACATGCCCTGAAATAGACGAACGTGACATGACTGCGTGTCGTTCAAACATTTGCAATACAGAGTCCAAGGGTGGACTCCTCATTGTTATAAAAGTTAATAGTACCTATTCAAAGAGAGGAAGATGATGAGATGCAACCTTTTCGAGTTTACGATCTACTTCTGAAACTAAAGGGTTTAAAGGGTTGCCTCTATTATTTCAGTCAAATAACTTAGATACAGGTAAAGTTTCGTTTGTACTTGTACGTCTGTATATGTCTGGTGAACGTATTTTACGGCTAGCAATTTGATTGTTTTTAACAACAAAAAAAAATTATATTTGTTTTTTTTTTTTTATAGAAGAATTTTAGTAATCAAAAAAATTAAACTCTATTAAGCTAAATGCTTGGATCAGGAGAAGGTTCGTATGTCCAAACCGGTGACCCGTGTTAGAATATTATTAAAAAAATACTGTCATGAAGAATAAACTTACGTAATGCATGTACTAGCACTGGATCAAAACGTGATCAGCTTTATTTTTTCCAGTTCCTTTTCATTGAGTATTTGTATTTTTAGTCTGTGTGTTACAATCAATGACGTATGGTTTGTATATCATTGGTTACAAATGTTCTTTTTTATGTTATATACCCTATGAATCTTGTGTTCGAAATTAAGATTTATTATTACTATTATTATCTGGTGTACTGAGTGTGATTTAAACCACTATCGTGATACCAGCAAAAAACCAACACACAAGAATTCTATTTTTACTTTAGTTATAAAAATGCAAGTAATGCTTACTTTGGGTCGTGACAGCAATATAAACAAGATAATTATTATATCACTGTTGTTGTAATAATAAATACGATAAAGGCGTTCATGCTACGCGAAAAAGAACCTACTGTACCTTTACAATAATTGTAATAAATACTTTACTAGCAAAAGAAAAAGAAGTGGTCACTTTTATAGTTTACTGAATCGCATACTACTGAGTTTATGGCGAGTGTTTAATTAGTAGTAATCCAACCCTGAATTCATACTTAAAATTCACACGTACACACGTACCTACACTAGTCGGTGCCACTTTCTTCCCTGCATCTGTCAATACAATACAGCTTGCACAAAATTCTTCTGTGATATTATGAAAAAATATGCTAAACCGCCATCTATTGAAGACATACCGAACTAAGGGAACTATTAATGCTGCATTGTGCTATGGAAATTCACGCGCCGACTAGTATATTTATACCTACATATATTCAACTTCCTAATACTAACCATTGATTTATGAGTATAATAAATATATGAGTACTAAGCCTGGTTAGAGGACCTGCTTTACTTTGGAAGGTCATAACACCCATTACTCTACAGTTTATGATATCCGCCCGCCTACTTTCTGTAACCGTGATCCTTTTTTCGCCCGGTTTATATAGCATAAGATTTTTTGCGATCTCTTCAACAATAATCGTTATACTTCAGTCAATTTACATAAAACTATCATAAATTATACACCTAAACCTTCCTCAATCACACTATCTATTGGTAAAAACTATACAGAAATCCGTAAGGCAGTTTTTGAGTTTATCGCTTTCATACAAACATGAAGACGCGGCCGGGGGATTTCATTTTATAATATGTAAGCATGTATAATCGTCCTTAAATAATCAATGTTTTATCGATCATCAGTTTCAATGTTAATGTCGTGCCCAGATCTTGAAATTGCCCTCTCCATAATGTCCGAAGAATTTGTAAAATTTGCATTTTTCATCCTATGGGTGGCTAAACTGATAGTTTAATGATACGTTAATTCATGTTTAGTCATGAATGTCGGGTTTACGCTACTTAAAATGGTTTAATAAAAAATCTACAATTGTACATAATATTTAATTAAAAGTTGTCGAAATAAAATTGAACTTGATTCTTCTAATTATGTAATAATTTTGTCTGTCGTCATGATCCAACTCCGGTAGACAAACCCGTATACAAAAAAGTGCATGACATGACTATTTTGAGGATAGCATCACCATATGATTAGGTATTTCATGAAGTAATCAAGCCGCATGTTATCAGACCTTGATTTTTCATTAAACAAAACATAATCTGTTTTTAATTAAAATAATCGCAAAATATGAATACTTTATCATAACATTATATTACATAGACAAAAAAAAAATGTAAATAGTGTAAATGTTGTAAATATTCTAACTTAATTTTAAAATTAATTAAATTATTATTCTTAATTTCATTTTTATTTTTGTACTAGATACGTACGTTGATATCTTCTGTCACTTTAAGTTTAATGTTATCAAAGTTGAACCAAAAAATTATCTTGAAATTAAAGTGCTTCAGTATTTGAGTGAAGAAATTTGTAGAAGACATGTTGACAAAAATATTATAAATAACAAAATCGCCTTGATGACGGCAATCGGATGGGAAGAAGAAAGAAAGCAGGAAGATGAAATGTGGCAAAGTGCGGGTGAGGCGAAGGCGACACGTGACTAAGACATCATCAACGTAAAGCACTCCTTATCCTGGTCTACCATCCAATGTAACATGTCAAACGGTCTCCCCATTTTCTCACTCAATTTAATCAATTTTTAAACACATTTTTTCTTTTAGCATCAACTGTCATAAAAACAAATAATTAATCTTTATGATTGGTAAATAATAACACTTATTTATTTGCAGTACTTACATATCGGGGCTTGATACGTGTGGTCTTGCTCCACGATGCGAGCTAACTGTTGATTCATCGGTTCAAGGCACAATTTTGTTTAATATCTCTAACCGAGGCTCTCAAACTTTTTTTCTTTTGGATCACATACAAAATTTTCTGCTTTTTATTGACCCCTTGTTGTTACATGTCAATCACATTATGGGAAGTTTGCGTTGCGACTTTTAAGTTTAAGCCCTAAGTTAGTTTTTGGTTTAGTTCGAGCCCTAAATAAAGAATGCTAAAACTAAAAATGGTATGTTTTCTTATATTGTGTTTATTAAAATAACAACACTATATAAACACTTAATAGAATCGAAATTAAACATAAAAAACGTACCGTAACTTCAACAATGCAAACCAATAATTAGAAAAAATTGTCATAATATTATTGGGAGGGATGTACCTGATAAATTGACGGCCCGCAGCCTGCACCTTTATAAGACACAAGTTCGGCCGTATATGGAAACCTGTTCTCATCTCTTTGCCTCTGCAAGGATCGAACCGGATAGGATTGCATGAAAACTGTAGCTACCAAATTTATTGAAAAGCAAATCTGAAGGTCTGGGGTCCACCTTAACCATTTTGAGAATCATTTATTAATATGCAGAAGACAATTATATGCAAGGGATATTCCTTATGCCTTATACGGATAGATTTGGGGAATACAAGACAACGTGTATACAATCCTCCATTTTTTAATTTGCATTACTAGTTAGTTATCTTTCAAATTATAACCCATTAAACGATATCTTTAATTTTACAACTTTTTTCATGAAATATTAGCCATAGCGTCTTCGTAGCCTTAAGCGCCTACACTAAACTTTAGTGCCAACCCACATCATTCCGTTATGTGCTAGACGTTAACTCAACTTCCCTTGAAATAAACTACTCTTTTTATTAAGGTAAGTATATTTTAATATTGTGCTTTCATTTTCCCAGAAGCTCTTTTTGACCTCGAACATGGTCCTACAAGCCGAAGAAAATATACCTACCGTTATCATTTTAGCGGATCCGTATTTTCATACACCGAGCACCATTAATATTGAAATTGGAGCCGATGTAATTTAGAAAGAATATATTTAGAATTTGCTTCCACAAAAATAGAATCATGGGATAAGAAACCAATTTAATATCCAGCCAGGCCTAGTTGACCTACCTTGCTATATTACAAGTAAAACATATACATATTTTATTAAATATTAAATTATTCTGACAGACCTATCATATCCGTCATATCATATCATTACCGCGGGAGAGCCATGCTTCGGCACGAATGGGCCGGCTCGACCGGAGGGATACCACGGCCCCACAGAAAACCGGTGTTAAGCAATTCTTTCGTTGCCTTTCACTGAGTGAGTGAGGTTACCGGAGCCTGCAACAAACTTGTGACTTTTGAGTTGCAGATGTCCATGGGCGACGGTAGTTGCTTACCATCAGGCGACCCGTCTGCTCGTTTGACCCCTTATACCATATAAAAAACTACAGTTAATTCATGTAACAATATAACTTGACAGTCGTATTTGTACTGAAATTTTATTATTGAGGAGGTGTATTTTAAACTTATCAACATCACGTTGATAAATAAAATGTACAACAAAATAGTGTTAAGGTTTTAGTGTTTTTATTTTTACAAAACAACAAATTGAAAACAGATTTATAAATATTTATAATATATCTCTTCAAAATAACAAATGGAGTACCTAATCATAATTTACATTGAATTTTCGTAATCATGTACTCTTCAGTCTCTTGCTTCATCTTTGACTCCGTCATCTTAGTAGCCGTATTCAGAAGGTGGAGCAGCATCAGCAAATGCCTTCACTTTAGGGATTGAGTACACTTTTTTAACGAGTGTTTTGATGGCAGGATACTTCTCCTCAAGGTCTGGTATCCGCACCATAACCTTTATGTAATCGATGATGCCGGCGACCCAGAAATCGCCCCACGTCAGCTGTAAGAAAACATTGGTTAACCTCATAATTGGAAAAATCAACTTGCAGTTAGGCAGTCTTGAGATGATAAAAGAAATGTAATGAATCTTAATTAAGAAAACCTAACAATATTTGAAATTACGATCACGATCGTGTAGTATTATATCACTGTATAGTCGATCTTAAGCCATAGGCTTGATGAAGTTCTTAGTTACATCGGTAAACTTTACTGTAACCTACTCACCGCCCAGAGCTGTAGAAGCTTACTTGGATCTTTACCTATGATTGAAGGCAGTGAAATTGACAGCAAAATCTGTTTACCCTAAGTGTTATATTTCAATAGTATAAAAGACGCTGTCGGTAAAGTGGTTGCCACACTGATTAAGACTTTTTTAACCGTAAACTATCATCGCTCGTCACAGTCACACTTTATGATTATTATTCAATTTTTGACCAGAATATATTTTGTACTCATGTTATTATTATTGTCACTGTTATTATCACTGTTATTTTAAGAATTTGTCGAGTGTTTATTAGTTATAATTACTTTTCCCAAAGCGACGTGTCCATTATTCTGCTCAATAATGGCATTCAGCTTAGCGAAGTATTCAGGATATACATTCTTTGAGTAGTCCTTGTGTTTCCTTTCTTTGACAGCTTCGTCTTCTTCGTACTCAACAATGGCACCCTCTAGAAATAAAGAAGAGGACGTTGGATTATTATTTACGCATACACAAACTTTGATTTAATAATAAACTTTATTTTACACTAAGAGTTATAGATAACATACAGAGTACATAGATAACTACTGTGACAATATATTTTTCGGTGTCGTAATCAACTGTAGTCGCCACCACGGTACGGCACGGCCACTTTCTCGTGCTAGGAATAAACCTGTGTTAAGAGTAGAGGGACGCCGCCATGGAAGTATACTCCCAGTCGGTAAGCCTGTATTTCGGACCCAGTCATACTTAAAACTAGGATATGGATTAAAAGGAAAACAAACTATAAAAACGTATTTAAATATAGTTAAGAGAGCCATATCAAGTGTATTTAGTGTAATATGTTGTAGGTGCATGTGTGTGTGTGTGTGTGTGTGTGTGTGTGTGTGTGTGTGTGTGTGTGTGTGTCTGAGTAAGTAAGTGTGTACGCATGTGAGTATAGAAGCGTAGTTGTGTGTATACGTGTGTGTGTTTTATGTTACAGCTGAATGTTTTTTGGCAAAAGCTTCGTGCACAAAGAGCTGCCTCAGGTCAGGTCAGGTCACTGTCAGGTCTTTAAACAAGTTGCTGGTTGGGTACCTAAAATTCTTTTTAGGCATGACTTTGAGGACAGCTCTTTGGGCAATCTTGAGTGGAAGCATAGTTGTTTCTGCTGCATCATCCCAAGAGGTAATGCAGTAGGAGATTATTTGTTGACCAAGCGCATGGTAGGTCTTGGTAGATCAGTTTCTTGCCTAGTGATGTTAAATTATTGATCTGTATTTTCCATTTTAGGGACTGATCTGTGTAGGTACCCAGATACTTAATCTGGGAAGTCCTGAAGATAATTGCGCAATTACAATTGATAGTGCGATCAATGCATGTGTGCAGTTTTACTTGGTAAGTATCTGTAGGTGGCAGCATAGATGTTTTGTGTGCGAATGTGATAAAACAGCTTTTTTTAGTGTAAATCTTCTTTCACTAAACATCATGGCTGTTAGCCAGGCCTGAACCTTTGTAAGAGCAGTTTCGGAGTGGTGTTTTCTTATATCCCAGGTTGCACCATTGATTAAGAGTACCGTATCATAAGCATAAGCAAATTTTGCAATTTGTGAAGGGATTTCACAAAGGTCATTAAAAAAAATTTAGAATAATGTTGGGACTAAAATACTCCCCTGTGGAACACCGTTGTCCAAACTTCGTTCAGAGTTTATGTTTTGACCAATTTTGACGTTTCGTGTTCTACGTGATAGGTAATCCTTAAAAAAAATTGAGCGTCGCTCCTCTTATGCCGATTTTTTTTAACTTTCTCACATGGCCGACGACGGAGACGGCGTGAAACGCTTTAAGCAGGTCCAAAGAAATGGCAAGTCATTTCTTTTTACTGTCCGAATCGTCGACTATATCATTTACGAAGCTTAGTACTCGTACAGCATCCTCAGCTGATATACTTTTCCTAAAGCCGAATTGGTTACGTGATATAATATGTTTTGACTCTAAATAACTAGTCAGACGTTTATTTAGAGCTTTTCGACCACTTTAGACATTGCGGGCAGAACTGAAATTGGTTATTGTCAGTATCTCCGTCACTATTCTTGAGAATAGAGTGTTATATAGCTTTCTTAAACATGTTCGTAAAACGCCGGTTAAAAATGAAAACCGACAGATATATGTATTTGACAAGTGGGATAAATATCTCAGTAGGATCCTTTATTATAGCAGGCGAGATATCATCACGAACTAGCCACGCAGTCTCTACGTAAAGATTTGATCTAGAGTTTAACCTCTCCGCTATCAACGTCGAATATCACCAATGAAAATTTGTGTGTAAGCTAACTCTAATACAGGCTTAAGTAGATCAATAGTAGTACATCTTCTGATTGCATTGACTTTCACGCTTGCTTTTTTACAGCAATTCGATGGAATACAGACAGTTTGTATGACAATGTTAATTTCCCGTTAGAACCTCCATGCAATCTTGAAAAAGTATGTTTAATTTATACATGTTCCTTTTTTGAAAAGCAACCATAAAAGTAACCAACCAAACAACAAAGACTTAAATTGAAAATAAGCAAAGTATCTCTTTGATATTAATATCGATGACAGATGGAAATTGTAGTATTAAAATAATTAGCATCAAACTCACTGGCGCGGATGTCATTGACAAAGTCAACAATCTGGTCGATCTCCAAGTTTTCCTCATCATTGTCACCAACAAGTCCATACTTCTTTCCCAAGTAACGGCTGATGGCCAGGCTCTGTGCATATTGCTTATCGTCTATAAACAGCACCGGCATGGAACCAAACGGAGTTTCTAAAAAAAACAGGTGTTTGTTTAGTTCACAGTTCTTATCGCACAGGTTTTATGCTTTTTAAGCTTCAGTTACATCTGAAACTGCAATTGTAGTAGTCGTGTCTACGAGTAGTGGAACTACTGTGTTTTTTTTTAGATAAACTGGCATTAACATCGTTACATCTGATGATATAATATTGACTTTTTAACAGTTTTTACTAACTTGGTTTGTAGGCTGGCCATGTTTCTTCGTTGTAACGAATATCTTCAAACTCCTGACTTCCATAGGCGAATAGCAGGCGGGGACCCTCTCCCAATGACTTGCAGGCAAAGTAGTGATATATATACTTTGGCATTGTTCTGCAAAGATACACCAAGTTGAAGATAAAAAGTATTTGTACCATTCATAGATTTATCTTTATTTTATAGCAGTTTTCTATTCTACTATATTCTACACCAATAGTTCATATTAGCTCAAACCATAAAAACAATATGAATGGTATATAAAGACATTGACATGAGAAGACATTTTTATATATTTTTTAAAAAATCAAGCCCATAATAGTGTTTTTAGTTGGTAATCTACATGCCACTTTATTTCTACTACTGAGATCATAAAAATCAATGTAAAAGTCAATACACCTCTATATAAGAGACGCCTCTTCATAACTGTCAAATACCAGAATGCCTCATAAAAGGGTAGAGAAAGTTGTTTCTATTTACAAAAAGAAACATACATATATCAACCACATTTTTAAATATACATAATAAAAGCAATTTCAACATAGAAATTAAATTAAACATTGCTATCAAACAAATAAGGTAACATAAAAGAAGATATGTCAAAATAATTTACATGTTTTTTTAACGTATCCTGTGTCGCTGGTGACTTTACAAACATACATGAAACAGACAAAGAACACCCAGACTCAGAACAACAATATTTTGTAGATTACACAAAGTGTCGTCCTATTTGGGGATCGGATCCATAACACTCAACTATTATTTTAATTTGGAAACTGACCGGCAGACGAGGTTCAGATTGATTTTCAATTAAATTGATTTTTATTCACAGAAACCAATATTTATAGGTTTTCCAGTACATACTCAAGACAACATTTATAATAATACAGTATTCAAAATAAAATTCAGTGAAATCCTCGAACTATTCTTACATCATGAGCTTACTAAAAAATAGCGACTCATCATGCATTTTGGTTTGTAACATATAACTTATTGCCAAGCTTTTGAGGAATATCCAACATATTAAGCATTTTAAATTTATTTCTTTTACGACTTTTTCCAGAGACTTAATTCCATGAAGTCTAAGTCATTAGGGACTTAGACTTCATGGTAGGCAATGTAAAGAAGTAAGTAACTTAATACATAAATAATGTATACAAACTCAAGGAGATGCTGCACTGTCTGTCTCAGAAATGTATCTACACAGTTAGAACGTTGGTCGCTTCGATCACAACTGATCAAATTTAATATAAAATTTCCATTTATACTTAAAAATTCAAGATATTTGTTACACAAAATTATGCAACATAGGTGTAAATAATCTTATCTAGTAAAGTACTTCTTAACATTAAATCGCTTAACAAAAAAGTTTTTTTTTATAGATCACGACATCACGACGATATTTTAATTTTCGGATCGAATTATTGCCATGAAAAAATATAATGTAATTACATATCGGAATGCGTATGTACTTGTACGTCGTCAAGTCGTAACCTGTCTTGGATCTTGGTCGTTTCGTCTTAAATATATAGGGTGTGATAGCCGATTGCATAAATTAAAATCTGTTTGCTTTTATACGACACGATTTTCTGCACAATTTGACTAGATTTTAAACCGAATCATGTCGTATGGAATCAAATTGTAACTCCGGTCAATAATAATGACTTCTCCTCCTGAACATGAGTAAAGCATTTCATTTTGTAAATCATAAATGATATAAGAAGTAAACCAAATGACTTGTTAAGGGTTTACCTAAACAGCTGATAGTAACTTGCGGAACATTCCAAAATCAATAAAGATAAATAGTCTTATCAAGTCCAGTCCTTAATAGATTGCCTTGAATTGAGCGATTTCACTGAACACGAGATAATTTTTTGGAATAACAACATTCGTGAGTGGTATTTGTATTTGAAAATGGTTACGATAAAGGGTTTCATTCATTTATGTATATCCGGGATACCCGTTCTTGAGATGTCTGACACCGAAGCAGAAGGTAACTTCATTTCTTAAATCAAGACGTATCATGTTTTTATTAAAAATTTAGTCGCTTGATCTGACTTGCTCTTGTTCTTATAACAATTTCGACTTCCTGAAGTCTTTCTTCAAGCATTTCTACTCTGGAATGCGCACCCGCTTGAAGTCAGGATGTCCACAAACCGTTCCGTATTTAAAAAGAAGGTACATGACATGACTTCTTACTGAGATGGCAGAATCAGCTAATCGGTAGTGCAGCAATCAAATATCTTATATTCATAGTGAACAAATATAATGTAAATATATATGTTTATGTGTATGTAAAGATATATAAATATGTATATTTATATATATATATATATATATATATATATATATATATATAGATATATATCGTGTATATAACCTGTGTATGAACCATTTTGGTAATAATATGCAGAAGGCAATGGGTAGGCAAGGGATATTCCTTACGCCTAATACGGATAGATTGAGGAATACAAGACAATGAGTATACAATCCACCATTTTTTAGTTGTATTTTAAAAACTAAAAAAAGGAATTTGACGGAATGACAAGTAATAACCACCCTGGACACCTGCAGCTAAATCTCACAGGTGCGTTACTGCCCTTTGTAGTAGGCCAGACCTAGAAGGGATTTTGGGATTTACTCGAGCGTGTCAGATTAACATAAGAAGAATACCTTACACCCAGTTGAGTACCTCTACCATAAACGAGCCCTACATATAGAGGGGAGTGTCTAAGGCAGCCCATCAGATTAGTTAAAATAAAATCGATGTAAAGAAATACTCGAGCGTGTAAGATTAAGTTAAGTTGAGTCAATTACATACTCATTAGGGAATATTTAAAAGAAACAGATGATTTCAGTGTGACATAAAGCAGCAGGGTAACGAAATTCTAAAAAAAACCCATAACCTTGACATTTTATTTTTATTTTGAAGCAAACCATGTAAGAAATCTTCGTTAAATGTGTACATATTTTTTTGTGCCTCTATTTGTCACATTTTATAAAAATCAAAATATTTCGTATTATCGTCAGATTTTTGGCTAATAGGAGAGGAACATCAAGCTGAACCGTCTGTATAAAATCTAACACGCTAGGGGATTTCGAAATGTTGATTTGTCGAATTTGCAGTTCGCTACGAGTTTGTGTCACTATAAAATCGTCAGACCTTTCAACGGGAGCATTTTTGTCGTCCAAATAATATATCCCCTAAATATCTGATGCACCCTATTTTTTTTTTCGATTTCCTCCCTTTATTTATTTAACTTTATGGACTTTTTACATCGGCAGACTTAATGCCAAGGGCATTCTCTTCCAGTAATCCTTTGGGTTGTGTAGAAATATTGTAAGGTACCCCATTTTTATGTTATATACCCTATGAATCTTGTGATCGAAATAAAGATTTATTATTATTATTATCTGTTGTACTGAGTGATTTAAACCACTATCGTGATACTAGCAAAAAACAACACACACGAATTTTACTTTATCTATAAAAATGCAAGTAGGTAATAATTATTTTGGGTAGTGACAACGATATGAAGAAGATTAGGACTGTATCAAAATTATGTTACAGTTATTGTAATAATAGATAAGATAAAGGCGTTCAAGCTGCGCGAAAAAAAAACCACCTTTACAACCCTTGTAATAAATACTTTACTAGAAAAAGAAGTGACCACGTTTATAGTTAACTGAATCACATACTACTGAGTTTATTGCGAGTGTTTAATTAGTAGTAATCTAACCCTGAATTCATACTTAAAATTCACAAGTACACCAGGCGACTTTCTTTCTTCCCTAATACAATATGGCATGCACAAAATTCTACTGTGATATGATGCAAATACACTTCAATGCCATCTATTGAAGACATACCAAACTAAAGGAGCTACTAATGCTGCATCGTGCTATGGAAATTCACGTGCCGACTAGTATTTATATACCTACATATATTCAACTTCCTAATACCAACTGTTGAGCCATCACCCGCCAGGCATGAGTACTAAGCCTGGTTATAGGACCTGCTTTACTTTGGAAGGTCATAACACCCATTCGTCTACAGTTTATGATATACTAGGTACCGTCCGCAGCTTCGCCACCGAATTTCGGTAACCGTGATCCTTTTTTCGCCCGGTTTATATAGCGAACGATTTTTTGCGACCTCTTCAACAATAATCGTTATATTTCAGTCAAATTACAATTATTTTAGTGATTATATTTATCTTTAACAAATATTTGTTTGGTTGCATTTTCCATAACTTTTGTGTTTTTATAGGCAGTTCTGAATGTTATAAATTTCATATATCAATCAAATTGTGAAAAAAAGTTGATTAACGTGATACCATAACATATATTAAGTAAAATAAAACTTTTAAATTGGCTCTTAAAAAAATATTTTGACCCGAGTCTTTTTTTAATGGTCTTCACTTCACTTACTACTTCTTTTGACTGATTATGACCGCCCTCCTGCCTTATAATAATAATAATACCTTTACACATCTCAAACACGGCCGCGTGATCTCAAACTAGGCAGAACCTGTACTATTTTAACTAGACTGCAGATAAACATACTCATATATTGCTCAATACTTATACTTTATCAATAAACACACAGATACAGAATAAACCATCGCGCTCAAAACACAATTATTTGTCCCGGGTGGAAATGGAACCAACGACCTCCGGTTTAACAGTTAGAGTCACTAACCACTAAACCAACAGACACGACTACCATCGACTTGACGACTTGGTAATCAGATGAAACAAAGCAGGAAGATGAAATGTGGTCGGGCAAACGGTTGGTTCGAAGGGAACACGGGACAGAGACCGCAGTAACATAAAACACTAATTATATTTGATCTACCATCCAATATATAACGTATAAAACGATCTCCCGTATTCTCATTAAATTGAATCAAGGCTAGCGATCATAGTTTTTCTTTTAGCATCAACTGTCATGAAAATAAATAATAATTTTTTATGGTTATTAAATAATAACAGTTATTTATTTGTAGTACTTACATATCGGGGCTTGATACGTGTGTTCTTGCTCCACGACGCAAGCTAACTGCTGATTCATCGGTTTAAGGTACGATTTATTTAATATCTATAACCGAGGTTCCCAAACTTTTTTTTTGCGTACCGCACACAAAATGTTCTACTTTATATTGACCCCCTGTTGTTATATATATTTCAATCATATTCCTAAAAATGTGAAGATTAAATCTAACTATGGAAATTTTGCGTAGCGACTTAGTTCGAGTCCTAAATTCAATTATAAAAATTAATATGGTATAATTTCTTATATCATATTTATTAAAATAACAACAGGATCAAAAACTTTAATATTGTAACCTATTCAAAGATATATTTAATTAATTATACAACTTTTTTCGCGATATATTAGCCATAGCGTTTTCGTAGCCATAAGCGCCTACAATAAAATTTAGTGCAAACCTAAGTCATTCGGTTATGAGTTAGACAGTAATTATATCGTTAACTTAACTATTCTACCCTTATTACTAAGGGTAGTACATTTTAATATTAAGCTTTAATTTCCTCAGGAGGTCTTCTTGACTCGAAACATGTTCCTACAAGTCGGATTAAATATACCTACTGTTATCATTTTAGCCGAATCCGTATTTTCTATTGATATTAAAATTGGAGCCAATTTAATTTAGAATTAGGTGCCGAAATATTAGAATTACGGGAAAGAAACCGGTTTAATATCCAGCCAGGCTTAGTTGAACTTTTTTATTTTTATTTGTTGACGATGTGAAAAATCAGATCCGTCCTAGTTGGACAACTTATATTGAAATGTTCGATTTATAAAAATAGGATGAATAATAAATCGGAATGTTGAACTTTGAATTATGTCTTATCATCAACAGCCTTTAATAGTCCACTGCTGGACATAGGCCTCACCTTAGAAGGAAGATTTTGACCTACTATACCATGCTCACCAGAGGGGTTGATTTAGGATTTGCGTCAAATTGTACTTCTATTTTTTGCAGTGCTGTTGTCCTCCGTAGTTTTGATGAGTAGGGGTTCCAACATTCCGAATTCTTAATTCGGAATGTTGGAACCCCTACTCATCACATTCTTAATTCGGAATGTTGGAACCCCAATCACCACACGGATGAATTATGAAAATCGGTATTTAAAAATTCGTATTTGTAACTGACGCAATAAAGTTTTTCGTATTTTTGTAGTGTACCCGCGCCACTGCAGCAGTGTCTATCGGTGATCGTTCCGCCGCATTTCGAGCCCGTCTTGGACCTCCCCGCCGTCATCCTGGAGGATAGGCTTAGTTGACCTACCTTGCTATATTAAGTAAAACATATACTTTATCAAATATTTTAATTATTCTAACAGACCTATCATATATACAGTTAATTCATGCAAGAATATAACTTGACAGTGTATTTGTACCTAAATTTAATTATTGAGATGGTGTATTTTTAATCGACCTCAAAAAAGAGGTGGTTATCAATTCGGATGTTTATATAATTCATTTATGTATGATTGTCGGGCGTAACTCCGTCATTTATAGACGGATATTCAAAATTTCCTTTTTTGTTCGAAAGGTCCGATATGGTCCCATTTAAATTTCATTTAGATCTATTGATGAGTTTCGGAGACAGACAATGGAACTCCTCAAAAAATGACAGCAATTCAACCGCGATTCCTGCTGGGTTTTTAGTGCTCTTTGTTACTATTGTTTGAAGTCGGTTCAAATTTTTTTTAAGGGAATTAAAACATATTAACCCCATGTTGATAAATAAAATATACAATAAAATACAACATAGTTTTTTAGTATTTTTATTTATACGAAACAAATAAAAACATCAAATTGAAAACAAATTTATAAGTATTTATAATATATCTCTCTCTTCAAAGTAACAAATGGAGTACCTAATCATAATTGTCAATAGTTAATTTAACATTGAATTTCCATAATCTTGTACTCTTCAGTCTTTTGGTTCACCTTTGACTCCGTCATCTTAGAAGCCGTATTCAGAAGGTGGAGCAGCATCAGCAAATGCCTTCACTTTGGGGATTGAGTACACTTTGTTAACGAGTGTTTTGATGGCAGGATACTTCTCCTCAAGGTCTGGTATCCTCACCAAATGCTTTATATAATCGATGATGCCGGCAACCCAGAAATCGCCCCACGTCAGCTATAAGTAGAATACTTTAGTTAAACCTTTAATTTGAAAAATCAATTTATAGTTTGCGGGTTATGAGAGAAACCTAACAATATATAACATTATCGCACGATAGTGTGGTATTATGTCACTGTATAGTCGATCTTAAGCCACAGGCTGGATGAAGTTCTTAGTTACGTTATTCGTTAATGGGTAAACTTAACTGTATTTTTTTTGCACAGAATCCTTTTTAATAGTTATTTTAACAATTTATCGAGTATTGATCAGTTATAATTACTTTTCCCAAAGCGACGTGTCCATTATTCTTCTCAATGATGGCATTCAGCTTAGCGAAGTAGCCAGGATATACATTCTTTGAAAAGTCTTTGTGTTTCCTTTCTTTGACAGCTGCGTCTTCTTCGTAGTGAGCTATGGCAGCCTCTATAAATAAAGAAATGGACGTTGCATTTTTATTTACGCCTACACAAATTTTGGCTCTTATATTTGGGTATTTAGATGTAAGCTAACACTAGTTCTGGCTTAAATAGATCGTTGGTTTGCGTTGGCATTGAATCTTGCTTTTCGACAGTAATCCAATTGATTGCAAACAGTATTTGATGTTAATTTCAAGTTAAAACGTCCACGCAATCTTAAGAAACTATGTATATCCTATATAGGTTATTTTTATGGACCGAAACCATAAAAACCTATCCAAAAACAAATACTTTATATCGAAAATAAGTAAAATATCTCTTTTGATATTAATATTCATGAAAGATATAACTTGCAGTATTAAAATAATCAGCATCAAACTCACTGGCGCGGATGTCATTGACAAAGTCTACATTCTGGTCGATCTCCAAGGCTTCCTCATCATTGTCACCAACAAGTCCATACTTCTTTCCCAAGTAACGGCTGATGGCCAGGCTCTGTGCATATTGCTTGTCGTCTATAAACAGTACTGGCACGGTACCAAACGGAGTCTCTGAAAAAAAACAAGTGTTTCTTCAGTTCACATTTCTTGTACCACAGGTTTTATGTCTTTTGAGCTTTAGTAACATCTGAAACTGCAATTGTAGTCGTCGTAGTAAGTCTAGTAGTAGAAATTCTGTGTTTTTTGAAAACTCTCTCATTTACTTCTTTCTATATGATTAAATTTATACATATATTATAATATATAATTAAATGATGACCGCGTGGTGACGGATTAAGAATACAGAGTGTCACCACCCCTATTCATCCCGTGGGTGTCGTAAGAAGCGACTAAGGGAAAAAAACTAGGCAGGACAACAGCACTGCAGAGAGAAGGAAAACTTGACACAAACCCTATACCAACCCGTCTGGCCAGCGTGGTATAGTATAGGCCAAAACCTCCTTTCTGAGGAGAGGCCTATGTCCAGCAGTACTACTATTAAAGGCTGTTGATGATGATGATATGATTAAATATTGACTTCTATCAGTTTTTACTAACTTGGTTTGTAGGCAGGCCATGTTTCTTCATTGTAGCGAATGTCTTCAAACTCCTGACCCCCATAGGCGAATAGCAGGCGGGGACCCTCTCCCAATGACTTGCAGGCGAAGTAGTGATATATAAACTTAGGCATTGTTCTGCAAAAATATACCAAGTTATAGATAAAGAAGTATTTTTACAATTATTTTTTACGAAAGATATTTATTTCTATATGTATTGATTGATTTTTATAAGTTAATGCGTAAAAGAGTCTATTGTATGGCACCATTATATATAATGAAATACCAGGCGGATGAAAAGATTTCGGAACAGTTATGTTTAAGAGTAATACGTAAATTTCTTGTAGATGAAATTTACTACAGTGTAACGTATTTTTATTATTCAAAAAAACTTTGGATTTTTTTAAACTCTTACTCTTTCACTGTCGTGATTTCAAACCAAAGTATAGTGAAATTTATCGAACCATTCTTAAATAATGAGCTCACTAAAAATAGCGACTCGCCATGCATTTTGATTTACGAGTATAACAGAATTTATGGCCTATAAGGAATATCCAAAATATTTAAGAATTTAAATTTATTTCTTTTAGTCTTTAAATAGGTATTTTGAAATCCTTCATGATTTCATGGTAGGCAATTTAAAGAAGTAAGAAACTAAAAAATAGAATTCACCTCAAGGAGATGCTGCACTGTCTGTCTCAGGAATGTATCTACACAGATAGAACGTTGGTCGCTTCGATCACAAATCAACAAAGATGGATCGAAGATTTCCATTTATAATAAAAAATTCAAAGATATTTATTACACAAAATTATGCAACATAGATTTAAATTTATTTTTAGAAATAATCTTATCTAGTGAAGTAGCTTTTTATATTAAACCGCAAAGCAAAAGAGGGTTTTCATAGATCACGACTTCACGACTGATATAGTAATTTTAATTTTATTTTAATTGAAAAGAAATAAAAATATAAAATACTTACGTATCGGAATGCGTATGTGGCTGTACGTCGGCAATTCGCAAGCACCTCCCGCAGACTGTCTTGGGTGTTTGACGTTCCGTCTTAAATATATATAAAACAACTTATACACGACCCAATTTAACGCACAATTTGACTAGATTTCCAATCGAATCGTATCGTATGGAATCAAATCAAATTGTAATTCAGGTCAATAATGATAACTTCTCCTCCTAAACATGAGCAAAGCATTTCATTTTGTTAATCATAAATTGTTCTTCTACAAGCTTGGTAAATAATGTAATAAGAGGTAAACCAAATGACTACTAGTAGGTAACGTGTGAAAAAATCCGAAATCAATAAAGATAAAGAGACTAATCAGAGTCCATCTTATCCGTGTTACTTTAAATCGATCAAGTCAGACGATTCCGGGAACCCTTGCCCTGAATTGAGCAATTTCTCTAAACATGAGACGGTTTTTGGAATAACAACATTTGTGAGTGTTCATAGTATTTCTGTATGATTACGATAAATTGTTTTATTCACTTATGTATATCAGGGATGCCCGTTCTTGAAATGTCTGACACCTACACGGAAAGTGTTTTGGTCTTTAAACCACAACGTACCACGTTTCGATAGATAATTTTGTCATTTGGAAGAAATTTCGTCTGCCTGCAAGCGTCATGCAGACCACGGAATAGAGAACGGAGAGAGGATGAGCAATTATTCAGTAGTTACATCACGAGTATTTTCATATCGCAAGATTAGTACAGGAAGTATTTCTTTGAAAAGAAAAACTATTAAATTAGTTACGAGTATATCGAAACCAGTCTTACAGGCAACAAATTAAAAAAAAACAAATTCTTTTTTCTTTTTTCTTTCTTTTTTGAAAAAGACAACTCCCGCACTAGGAAAACATCCTGTGTCGCGGGGGACTTTACAAACATACATGAAACGGACACAAAGTACACCCAGACTCAGAACAACAATTTGTGGATCACACAAAGTGTTATTCCATGTGGGGTTTGAACCCACAACACTCGGCGTAATAGGAAGCGGCGTGGCGACCGCTTAAACCACTACGCCATCCGTGCAGTCAGTAAACCTACCACACCTACAACACAAGTAAATTGGCAATTTATTTGTGTTGTAGGTGTGGACAGAAAGTCGGAGCAAAAACAAACGAAATAAATTGCAAATCAGATCAGGAGTGAAATTGTACCGTGTATATATCGTATAAAGAGGTCGATTTACGATGTCGCTTATTTCCAAACTACTACGACTACAGTCAACCAACGAAAAAAATACACTCTTGATAACGCTTTGGACCTTGACCTTGGTAGCATGAGTACAAACAATCGACTACAACATTGGAAATAGTTCGCACTGTTTATACATCCATATTTTAGCTAAGTTTTTTTTTTCTTAAATTAATGTATAACTAGAAAAATTAGCCTAGGTGCTGTTTTGTCCAGAGGTCCCACGATCCTTAAAATGACCTCTGACGATCCTGAGGTGCGCAAGTCAACGAGTCACGGAGCAACTAATGTATGGATAGGTAATTTTAATTTAATTATTAGTATTTTCTTGGTTACTGACAAGTGAGTTGCATTAAAATATAATAATTAACTTTAAAAATGTCTTCCCTTCTAAAGTTTACATTTCCTTTCTAACCATCCGACCAGAAAAAAAAAGGATCTCGAACTGTTAATATAAATGAGCATCTTCCATAAATATATGTAGTGAAATGTTTTTAAACCATTAATTTTAAACAGTTGCGCAATAGAAACAAATGTTATGCAATAGATGTAATATTGAGTGTATTTTGTATTATCGCAGCCACGCTCCCGTCTACACCGGACAAAGTCAAGGTCACATTCGCTCGCACCATTTTGTATTTGAAGAGCGTCAGTAGGAATAAATATATTATTCAGTAAAGGCCTCGGTTCTCTGATAACTAATTGATAACATACCTTAAAATACGTGTTGTTATAATTTTTGTTTTAGTTTAATACAATGACACACCTTGTGTGAAATCCTATTTAATATAATAAATTATCTGAACGTGAATATATAATCTATACGTTTGAAACTTTCCTTAACTTCTGAACCGATAATCATGAATACGTTCATAAGCAAAAACGGTACCGATTTTTTTTGGCCTAGCTTCGTATGTATGTAAGTATGTGTGTATCCATATATGTGTGTAAAGGAATATTTGAACGTGATTTTGACCCACTTCAGAACGTCGAATTAAATTTAAACTTTGAACACTTATTAAGGACCGATGACAATGCAATAATTTAAATAGTTTGTCAAAATATCCTGATCAGGACTTTCAGTATTAACGGCTTTTTAAATACCTAAAAACACGGTTACGGTACGGTACTTAGTACGTGGCAAAAGACACTAGTCTTGTTACTTTTTTAATCTAAATAAGATAATAATCATCATTAAGACTAATAAAGAAAAATAAATTATGGTTTAAAAAAACAAAAAACACGCTTGTGATCTAAAACGTAGGAAATAATGTTCTATATCCTATAAACATTATTTCCTAAAGAAAAATAATTTTATCGTAAAAAAAAATAATAGTTTTGCGAAAAAAACCGTGGGGTGCTTTTTACTATTGACAACATGTACCCAACGCTTTTTTTTCAAATTTATTAAAATTTATTTTCTATTTTTTAGTTTGGTTTTCTATAGAAAAGCGTGTTTTTTTAGTTTTTTTTAAACTATTTTTTTAAATTTATGTTTTTAAATTAGTGCATTGTCATCGGTCCTCGATATATCTACAAAGTTTGAACGTATTCTGACCGTTTAAACTCAGTCAAAATTACACCCTAAGGAGTCGGTTACAAACAAACATACCAACAAACATACAAGTGAACCTAGTAAATATAATAATATATTAAAATCGTGAAGCGTGTAAAAAACGTAAGGTGATTTTCAAGGTACATATTTTATAACATAATAACTTTACTTTTGGCAATTTCTGTCCATAAAATATTTTTACTAAAATGGAGATCTAGCACCCTACGCCTTGTTTACTCTAAAACGACTTTTCTTTTTGAATATATAAAAAATATTTCCTACAAAAGCGTGTTTTAGAGTATTTTTGAAAATATAATTTATTTAAAAAAAGGTAGCTTTATTCAGCAAAAAAGGCTCTATGGGGGGTTAAGTTCTGCACCCATTGACCTTTTTTCAGATTATCACATCGTGTCGAAATGTGAACTCAATCAATGACGAACTTTTTGAGTCTTTCACACAAACCAACTTAATCTCTAGAAGAAAACATTCTTCTTCTAGAGATTAAGAGTATAACAAACAATAATAGTATCACGCCTCGTCTCAGCAAGTTTAGCCGTGAAAGAGAGAGAGTAAGGCTAAGAGTATTAAAGAACTCCTTTGTATCACTATTTGAAAAATACAGGATTGTATGCTCTTAAAGGTTCATTATTGTAATACTTTATCAACATCCTGTAAACTTTATCTGACCAAAGACAGCAATATGGACGACGTTGTCATTTAACTTTAAGTTAATAAATGGTCACAACTCTTTTCATGTTTTTGAATATCCTCTTTTTCTGTGGTGGCCTACCGTTGGCTACGTCGGACTCGAACCGAATAAAAACCGCACGCCGTCTCGGGTACCAGTAGCCGGGGATCCAGGTGTACCCTAGAAAGGAAATCCCTGGCCATCTACGGGGTTCTGCTATTGTGACAGATGGCTTCACCTGTTACCCCCAGGCCTGCGCTTATGGAGGACGGAGGTCGTTCTGCGACGTTTATGAGTACCCTAATTTCTAAAATTATCTTTTGTTATTATAAGCACTGACATCTACCGGGACCGTAATATAAAAATATTAATTAACCTAGTAGGTTATTTATATTGCAGTTCACAATTTCAGTCTGTTGACTTGTTTTCTTTAACAGTTGTTAAAAAATCTCACTAGATGGCAATGCTTTATATTGGAATCAATACTATATCGATAACATAACTTTTTTAGAGATTACTAGTACTTCTTTAATATAAGATCTTCTTATGAGTAATAAACTATATTACAAGATCTTGAACTAAAATATATATCACTGCAAAAATGGTTTAAAAAAGATTAGTTTTCTACTTCACGTGTACAGGCGCAGATTATTCTGTTAAGAAATATATACCGTAAAATAAAATGTATGAGAATCCCTACTTTATACTATAAATGTGAAAGTAACTTGGTTTGTTTGATAGAAAAGGCTGAGAAGTTCAGTACGGAAAAAATACACTAGCTGGTTTTTCAACGAGATAATTATGGTAAAACTATTAGTTTAAAAATTACTTTTGAAAAAACCGGTTTATTGAAAAAAACGAAAGAGAAATCAAATTTTAATTGAAAAACAAAAAAAAATGAGATTGTGGTTTGTCAAATTTATCAAAAACTTAAGAGAAAAACACTGTTTTATCTAGAAGAAATCGCGATTTTTCGCTCTTCATTTTCTCAGCTTTTGTAAAATACAATTTGTCGTAAAATAAATCAATTAGAAACCATCCAATTTAAAAAATGGTACTTTCTCGTTGCTATACAACCTCTTCATACTTATAAATTTTCCAAATTCATGACAGAGCCGTGGAAACGCAAAGAAAATGGAACGCTCCCAGTAAGTAGCAGAGGGACGGAGTGGAGGAATTTTCTCTATCGCCGAACTAAAACATATATTTATTATATCTCAAATTATTCTAACAGCTATATCTACTGTTAATTCATGCAACAATATGACTTGTCAGTGTATTTATACTAAAATTTAATTATTGAGGTGTTGTATTTTTTATTTTATTTTTAACATATCAACCCTATGTTGATAAATAAAATGTACAATAAAATACAATACAGTTTGTTTTAGTGTTTTTATTTATATGAAACATATGAAAACATCCAATTGAAATTATCTTAATTGTCAAAAGTTGATTTAACATTGAATTTCCATAATCATATACTCTTTAGTCTATTGTTTCACTTTTAGCTTCGTCATCTCAGTAGCCGTATTCAGAAGGTGGAGCAGCATCAGCAAATGCCTTCACTTTGGGGATTGAGTACACTTTGTTAACGAGTGTTTTGATGGCAGGATACTTCTCCTCAAGGTCTGGTATCCGCACCATAACCTTTATATAATCGATGATGCCGGCGACCCAGAAATCGCCCCACGTCAGCTGGAAGAAGAATACATTCGTTACAACCGTAATTGTAAAAACCAACTTGTATTTAGTCGGTCTTGAGATGATAATAGAAATGAAATTAATATTGATTAACGAAACCTAACAATATTTGAAATTATCGCACGATCGTGTAGTATTATATCACTGTAAAGTAGATCTTAAGTCATAGGCTGGATGTAGTTCTTAGTAGCGTTATTTACATCGACCAAAGCTGCAGAAGCTAACTTCGACTTTCACATATGATTGAAGGCAGTAAAATTGGCGGCAAATTCTGTTTATACTAAATGTTTAATAGACGCTGTCGGTAAAGTGGTTGCCACACTGTTTGTTCACCATAAACTATCAGCGCTCGTCACAGTCATAACAGCTATCTAGTTCGTTTATAGAATGTATGTACTTTATGATTATAAATAATAATCATAAAGTACATTTTTTGCACAGAATATATTTTAAATAGTTATTTTAACAATTTGTCGAGTGTTAAGTATTTATATTTACTTTTCCAAGAGCGACGTGTCCATTATTCTTCTCAATAATTGAATTCAGCTTAGCGAAGTAGCCAGGATAATAATTCTTTGAGTAGTCTTTGTGATTCCTTTCTTTGACAGCTTCGTCTTCTTCGTACTGAACAATGGCACCCCCTATAAATAAAGGAGAAGACGTTGAGTTTTTATTTACGCTTACATCAATTTTGTTATTTTACTGGGTATTTTTGTGCAAGCTAACTGCATCTATTGAGTGCATTGAATCTGAAGTTTGCTTTTTTACAGCAATCCAATGGAGACAGTGTGTGTAATAATGTTAATTTCAAGTTAGAACCTCCATGCAATCTTGAGAAACTATGTATATTCTATACATGTTCCTTTTATGAACTGAAACCATAAAACCGGAACCGGAAAAATAGAAATATCTCTTTTGATATTATTATCGATGAAAGATGGAACTTGTAGTATTAATGTGTAACTTGTAGTAATAATTAGCATCAAACTCACTGGCGCGGATGTCATTGACAAAGTCAACAATCTGGTCGATCTCCAAGTCTTCCTCATCATTGTCACCAACAAGTCCATACTTCTTTCCCAAGTAACGGCTGATGGCGAGGCTCTGTGCATATTGCTTGTCGTCTATAAACAGTACTGGCACGGAACCAAAAGGAGTCTCTGTAAAAAACAGGTGTTTGTTTAGTTCCCCATCAACGGTTTAATGCTTTTTGAGATTTAGTAATATCTGAAACTGCAATTATAGTAGTCGTAGGTAGTCTAGTAGTAGTAGAAATTCTGTGTTTTTTTTTTAGATAAACATGCATGAACATATTTCTATCTGATAAATAATATGTTGACTTTTTAACAGTTTTTACTAACTTGGTTTGTAGGCTGGCCATGTTTCTTCGTTGTAGCGAATGTCTTCAAACTCCTGACCTCCATAGGCGAATAGCAGGCGGGGACCCTCTCCCAATGACTTGCAGGCGAAGTAGTGATATATATACTTTGGCATTGTTCTGCAAAGATACAACAAGTTGAAGATAAAAAAGTTTTTGGACAATAATTCCTATATTTATCTTTGTTTTACTTACTTCGTCTAAAAATAGGCTATAAATAGCCTATGTAACTCATTGATAATATAGGTTTCTATTGATTAAAGAATTATTAAAATCGATTTAGTGGGATAGGCGTGAAAGCGTAACAAACAAACTGACTCTCACATCTATACAAATAACTAAAAGTGCAGTGTCTGTTTCTCATATTAAAACCATAGGTTATTCATGTTCACACGGTTATTTGCAGGATACCGATACTAAAAACGCTTTTTTTTTCTCTGTCTGTCTGTTTGTTCAAAACGGCTGCACCGATTTTGATAATATTTTACTACTTGGTAGCTGTCAATATAAGGAGTAACTTAGGCTTCTTTCCTCTCAGGAAAACCCTATATAAGTTTACGTGGTCCGGGAATCGAACCCAGGGCTTCATGGACTGCAGTCGGGCACCGTACTACACCAGTAAGGCCGCTTTTAAATTGAACAAACATTTTCGATTAAAGAACGAAGTCGCGGGTACCAAATAGTTTATACTCTTAATATAATTATGGATAAAAGTTTTTTTATTTTTATCAAGAAATGATTGATTATGTAGAATATTATATAGTATATTTTACGTTATACAATGCTCTCGATCAGGATTATGATTACGTCACTAATTATATCCATTTAAGTTTTTAAACCCACTTTCAGCAGGTAACATTCTGTGCACAATTTTTTTATCAAAGTCGGTATTCTAACCTAACTTTGCTTTCATCCAATGAAACTCAACTTAAGGTCTGCTACGAAGTATGTACCATCTAAGCAAAGACTCTCACTTCATGTACCTCAGGTGGAAATGTTTTACACACACACACACACACACACAAGTAGATTTCCGTCGAATAAGAACAACTGTTTCGGAAATCTTACACACAACGCCATCTAGTTTCAAACTAGCCGGCCTAAATGTGCCGAAGCATGGTTCTCCCACGGACAACGAGTCAGCTACCCTAAATTACTTTTTATTTATTTCAATAACTTAAGTTCTAATTGTTTCGTCTACAGCCATCTCAACTTTGTCAGTGATGCGGACAATCTTTTCATATTAGCTCAAAACATAAAAACAGTACATCATAATCATCATCATCAGCCTGTAACAGTCCACTGCTGGACATAGGCCTCTCCTTAGAAAGGAGGTTTTGGCCTACTATACCACGCTGGCCAGACGGGTTGGTATAGGGTTTGTGTCAAGTTCCGGGCGGAGAGCGGATTTCGCCCTCCGCCCGAAGACGTGCGCGAGTGGCGCGAAGCCGCTCGCCGAGCCACCATGGTCAGATGGTCGTTCCGGCTGGAGACTCCACGCGCTGGCTTCGCCGCCGTGGAGGCTCTCCAGCCCGTCATCGCCGAGTGGGCGGGGCGGCAGCACGGGACCCTTTCCTTCCGGCTGACGCAGGTGCTTTCCGGGCACGGTTGCTTCGGAAAGTACCTGTACTCGGTCGCTAGGAGGGAATCGAGTCCCGCCTGCCACCACTGCGACTGCAGTGAGGATTCGGCCCAGCACACGCTGGCGGTTTGCCCCGCATGGGCGACGCAGCGCCGGGCCCTCACTGCAGTCATCGAAGCAGATCTCTCGCTACCGGCCGTAATTCGCTCCATGGCCGGTAGCGACAGTTGTTTTACCGCGGTCGCAACCTTCTGAGAGGAGGTAATCTCGCAGAAGGAGGCGGCGGAGAAGGCCCGGGAGGACGACCTCCACTCGGACCTGATCCGCCGCCGGCGAACCGGGCGGCGGAGGCGCGCTTACCTGCGCCTCATGCCGCCCTGAGTGTGGCCGCGGGTGGACGGGATGGGTTCTCACCTCCACCCGCATTAGTTGGCCAGCCGCGAGGGGGCGGCGTCCGCGTGTGCCGGACGTCGCTTATAAAGAGAGGTCTTGGAGACGGAGCCCGCACCAGGAGCGGGCCGGCGCTGGGAGGGGTCCAGAAGGCGATAACTACCTGGACCCCTCCTAAACTGGAAGCGCAAAGAGGGCACACCGTGTGGTTTTAGTCGGTTCGAGTCCGACACACCGCCCCGCCGAACGAGAGCCCCGGCGGGGTGACGGTCCGAGGGGATTTCCACACGTAAAAAAAAAAAAAAAAAAAAGGGTTTGTGTCAAGTTTGTTTCCTTCTCTTTGCAGTGTTGTTGTCCTGCGTAGTTAGCTCCATTAGTCGGCTCTTACGACACCCACGGGATGAATAGGGGTGGTGACATTCCGTATTCTTAATCCGTCACCACACGTCAACACACGCAAAACACTACGCGTGGTATATAAAGAACTTGAGAACATTTTTTTAATAAATTACTCTTTTATGTTTAATCGCTAAGAAAAAAATATTTTTACAGATCACGACTTCACGACTGATATATTAATTTTAGGATCAAATTATTGCCTGGAAAGATATGAAATACTTACATATCGGAAAGCGTATGTGGCTATACGTCGGCAAGTCGTAAGCACCGGCCGCTAACTGTCTTCGGTGTTAATTGTCTCGTCTTAAATATACAGGGTGTGACATCCGATTGTATAAAATAGCATTTTCCGACGGAAAATCCCAATGATTTTCGACTCAGAATGATGGTCTAAATACACTTTCATTTAACATTTCCACTACACAATTAATGCATAATTTGACTTGATTTTCAATCGCATCGTGTCGTACGGAATCAGTAAATTGTAACTCAGGTCAATAATGATGGCTGTAAATCACAAATATATTTCTACGAGCTTGGTAAATCATGGTATAAGAGGTCACTTTCCATCAGGTGACCCGTCTGCTCGTCTACCCCCTTTTTTTTTTTTTTTTCCTTGCGGAAATCCCCTCGGATATCACCTGTCGGTGGCACGTCGGACACGAACCGACTAAAACCCTAGAAAGGAAGTCCCTGGTGCATCGTCTCCCCCCTCGGCATGCATGCTCGTCTACCCCCTAACATAAAAAAAGAGGTGAACCAAATGACTCTTTAAGAGTTTACCTAAACAGCTGATAGTAACTTGCGAAAATTTCCTAAATCAGTAAAGAAAAAGAGATTTATCAGAGTCCGTTTTATCTGTTTTGCTTCATATCGATCCAGTCAGGTAATTCCCGCAATCCAGTTGCCTTGAATTGAGCAATTTCACTTTTCGCTTCTTCGAATAACAGCATTCGTAAGTGGTATTTGTATTTGAAAATGGTTACGATAAAGGGTTTTATTCACTTATATAAATCAGCCCGTTCTTGAAATGTCTGACACGGACGCGGAAGGTGGCCTCTTAAACCACCACGTACCACGTTTAGATTGAAAATTTAGTCCCTTGTGGCAACAATGAATTGCTCCCGTCAAGTAGTCTTATATCCATCCCACAATTCCGACTTCTTGAACTCTTCGTTCAAGCATTTCTAGTCTGGAATGCGCTACCGCTTAAAGTCAGGATGTAAACAAACCATTCCGTAGTTAAAGAGAACGTACATGACCTCCTTCTTAATGAGATGGCAGAATCATCTAATCGATAGTGCAGCGAACAATTATCTGATCTGTATGTTTTTGTGTATGTTAAGATATCTAAATATGGGTAAAGTATATATTTGTATATAGCGTGTATATATTTGTATATAATTTTATTTACTTATGTAGTGTTGTGTAGTGTAAATTTTAGTTGATTAGTAAAGTAACCAGCCTATGTGCGCCTTCTACTCACGATTTCTACAAAACCTAAAGGTGTACTGGAAGAGAATGTCCTGGGCATTAAGTCCACCGATGCGCAAAAGGGCACAAATTTATGTAAATAAATAATAAAAAGTTGTGGTTCACATTTTATTTTCGTGCATGTATAATGTTTCGTTTGACGGGCCTGGAAGTCTAGTGGTTTGCAATATATGCAAGAGGTTGCGAGTTCAACTTCCACCCAGGACAATATTGTGCGATGAGTACGATTATTTGTTCTGTGTGTAGTGTAATTTATCTGTAATATGTATGTATTTAGAAATAAAAGTTTTGTTATCAGCAGTCTGGTTAGAAAAGTACAGGCTCAGTCTAATTTGGGATCAGGCTGCTATGTGTCAGATGTGGCAAATTAAAAAAGTCCTTGTTTAAGTCCTTAAACCAGTAAATTCCTTAATTTACCTGTTTCCTTATTCGTGCCCTATCCGTTTAGCTTACTTTTAAGATGAACCATCAGGGAAACGGATTTTGCAGGACTCAGAGTGAAAATGGAACTGAACATGCAGAAGACTGCGGCAAAAACAGAAAGAGAAAAGAAAACGAATTATTCTCATAATTTGCATGTCTAATATATTTTCATTATGTCATAATAGTAACATTTATGGATCGATCGAATTACTTTATTAAAAGTAAGTATTATGTATACGCTGAATCGCTTTAGACGAGGGCGCGGGGTTCTCAAATATCCCATACCGAGCGATAGTTTTACGTACGGCAAATTATGAAGCGGTTTAATCCTGGCACACCGGTATTGCAACGGATTGGCTCGAGAAGAAACACGAGACTCTGATACAGGCTGGCGCAAAGGATGCCACCACTGCGATGTTCTGAGCGTTGACACAACAGTGTATACACACTGAGGTCATTCCTCTGCTACAGATACGCTGGCAGAATGCCCGGCGTATGTTTAGCAGAGGCACGACTGATTGCTTGCTTGCAATTATGCTTGCCCAGGAGAGGGCGAAGTGGGACCGGGAGAGGCTTAAAACCCTCTCCCGGCATGCTAGGCCCGGGAACAGACGAGGTACCGCAAGCGGGTTAAGCGCCGGAGGTCGTAAATGTTCTCCGTCCTACATAAGCGCAGGTCTGGTGGTGACAGTTGGCGACGCGACGCGCTCCGGAGCGCCTTTGAAGTAATACTAGTACCGCGGCCTCACATAAAACCGGTGTTAAACATTTATTTTGTTGTTTTTCAGCAATTGAGTGATGTTTACCGGGGCCTAAACGCTCCCGTCCTTGATTCCGAAGGAGGGGGAGCGGTCATAATCCTGAGACCTATGTGGCCAGTGGAATGTAGCATGATAATGCGTTGAAGGAAACCGCATGGCATGACATGCTGTGGCGTTGATGTGCCGCAGTATAATTGTATCGAAATTAAGTAATATGATTTCTAAACTTATTGAAATAAGTATATTTTTGGAGGATTTGTGGTAAAAAGTGTTATAATTTTTAAGTTTTTTTTACTTAGGATTATTAAACCATTTTGGCTCGGTACTGTAGTTAAGGAGAGTAATAAAGATCTTTCTTTACGTTCAGATATTATGTTAGATAAAACAAGATTACACACCTTATCAAGGTAGGGCATGATATCGTTTTCAACTAAAGCGAGAGATAAAAGAACACATATTTTTATGTATGTTAGCGATTAGTTATGACTTATGAGCATTTTAAATAACAAATTTCTTCATAATGACGCGCTGCAAATACAAGAATTCTGACCGCATTTGACCTTGACTTTGTCCATACAGATGTGGGCGCGGCTGCGATTAAACAACGTACTTAAACGCTTTTTTTTTTTTAGTAAATTACAAGTAAATAATATTTTTTGGTTTTGCGAAAAATGCGACAACACTTATAATGGATTATCCAGGTACATTGAAGGATCTTGGGACCACTAGAAAAAATCACCAACCGAATACATTAATTTAATCAAATAAACGAAAATTTTACCAATAATATAACCGACGCGATAATCGCAAGTAATCTCAATCCGTTATCAATAGTGTCTTCCATTGGCTGACTAAATTCATAGTACTTTAAAAAGAAACGGCCTTGAAAACCGGCTTCTCTACACGATTTCCACACGATACAATTTAAAGTCTGATCAAATTTGTAATTGAATTGGTTTCCGTTTAGATTTTGCGTCCACATGTATTACACAACTAATCGGCAATTATTTTTTTCTGTGCTAGATGGGCGTTTGTCATACAAGTTCCGATGTACCAATGTTTTCTTTTGAAAGAAATGCCACATATACTGATCTTGCAATACAAATCTACTTACAGTTCTATAACAGTTCAAATTAAATTAAATTTTCAGTCTAGTAGTTATGAAATATAAATGGTTTTACTTAAGTTTGTAGTTCGAAGATGGCTGGATAGATTTCGACCCGTCCTTTACACAAGGAATGAAACCATCACGTCGGTGTTAGGCACAATCGGGCATTCTCAAAAGACACAAAAGAGTGAAGCCACGGAATGTTTATAAATATAATTACCAATAAATTGTCTCATGTTTGGACAAATTGCTCATTTCAAGATCATTGGAGTTGCGGCATCGCCTGACTAGATCGATTTAAATTAAACCAGTTATTGCTGTTAATCTTTAATACCATATTTATCAAGCTTTTATTAGAGTAATCTATGGTAGACGTATTTTTTTGTCGTGTATAGCAAGAAAAGTTAGCATTATTGGCCTGAGTCACAATTTGATTTCAAACAATACGATTAGATAAAACGCTTAGTCAAATTGTATATGAAAGCGTGCCATTAAAAGCTGTTTTATGTTGACGACACCCACAACAGTCTGCGGGAGGTGCTTGCGACTTGCTGACGGACACGCACATACGTGATAAGTAAGTATTTTTTTATTTAAATCAATACAAAAAATTGTTATCCTTTGATAATTTGATAAAAAAGCCTTCTTTGGCTTTGCGATCTATCATCAATAGCCTATAATAGTCCACAGCTGGACACAGTCCACTCCTTAGAAAAAAGGATTTTGCCTACTATACCACGCTAGCCAGACTGGATGATATAAGGTTTGTTTTAAGTTTTCTTTCTCTTTGTAGTGCTGTTGTCCTACATATTTTACACCCTTAGTCGGCTCTGATGACACCCACAGTATGATATGACACGGACGTATCGATGCGGCGACGTTGCGATATATGAAAAATCAATTTATTAGATAAGATTATTTCTAAAGATAATCTTAAACTGTATTGGATAATTTTGTGCAATATATATCTTTGAATTTTTCACTATTATTAAAAATATTCGATCATATTTGATCGGACTGGCGTTCTATCAGTGCAGTTCTATCAGTGCAGTGCAGCATCTCCTTGAGGTTGTATACATTTTAAAATGTTTAGTTAGTTATTTACTGTTTCATATTCTCTAATAAATTAAATAAATTGTAAATGCGATTACTTGATGTGTTGGAAATTACGCCTTAAAGGCTCGGCCATTTATTATTATATGTTTTAAACCAAAAAATTTAATTCAAGCAATTTAGTCCAGAAGTTATAGTTCTTTGATTGATTTTACTAAATGAGGTTTTGAAATTACCGCCATGAAAGAGTTAGAGTTAACTTTTGATAAAAATACTTCAAAATTATTAAAAATGTCACTTAAATGAAAAAAGTGGAAAAGTCTCAATTTTGATTTTAAGTTAAACTAAAATAACACTCTGCGACAAGGAATAGAAACTTGGTCTACCTAGTGACTCCAATAACAATAATTTTCATTTACAACAATTTTTCATTCCAAAGCGATTGTTCTTATTAGGTCTTTACCTTTACCTATTATTATTAAATATAAAAGTTGGTTGTGGTGCGATTAAGTAAATGTGTCAGTTTCTTTTCGGTTACTCCTCCAAAACATATTTTGACAAAATATAATTTAGGGTAGTAACAGAAAAGCATGTACGTAGTAATTAACAAATTTTCATATAACTTATATGAAAATGTGTATAGTAATTTCCAAGATGTGTACAATAAATAAAAAGGGATAAAATTGTTCTATAAATCGCTGAATTGCGTTCTATTTTTTACTCTTCTAAACACTAGGAATGATTTGATATTTATTTAATATAACTTGGTGTATTTTTATAGAACTATGCCAAAGTATACATTACACTACTTTAATGGCCGAGCATTGGGTGAGGGTCCCCGTCTGCTGTTCGCCTATGGAGGTCAGGAGTTCGAGGATGTTCGCTATACTGTGCAAACATGGCCTGCCTTCAAACCAAGTTAGTAAAAACTATTAAAAAGTCAATACATACACATACAATACAAAAAATAAAAACACAATACAAAACCACGTGTCAATATTAACAAAAACATTTTTTTCAGCTTACCGATGAAATAATGTACTTTTGATGTAAATGGCCACTTTTTGACCCATAAATTATTGCGCATGTGTTTACAGCATCTGCGTCCCGTGTGTCAGCGCTAGTCGATCTTCTTACTTTTTTATGGTGTAGGGGACAACTGCAACTCATGGCACTCATAGCCTCTGCTGAAAACTCTACTTACTTAACAAACTCCTGTCTTTTTAGAAACTCTGTTTGGTTCCGTGCCAGTACTATTTATAGACGATAAGCAATATGCACAGAGCCTGGCCATCAGCCGTTACTTGGGAAAGAAGTATGGACTTGTTGGTGACAATGATGAGGAGAATTTGGAGATCGACCAGAACGTTGACTTTGTCAATGACATCCGCGCCAGTGAGTACCTATGATGCTACTACAATATGAAGCGTTCTGCTTTAATATTTCCTCCAAAGGAATCTGTATACTCGTAGTATTACTTTGCATCTGTATGTTTATCTGCCTATACCCTTTTTTTAAGATTGCGTCAATGTATCAATAATTTGTAATCAATATCCAAGAGTATCTGCAATCATTTGGATGACGGTACTTACCTTAGAGACTAGAAAATATAAGGGTTTTTTTTTAATTTCTCTGACCAAGAATTTAGATATAATCATCCTTAAAATCATCTAAATTCTTTTGATAGGATAAATGCCTGGTTTCCACAACGAACCTGTTTTTTCTGTAAGAGGTAGTTAATATATTATAGGCAATTATTAAGTCTCAAGCAGAATTTGAGTACTCGTGAATAACATCTTTTTCTTCTCTATTTTCAGAGGCAGCCATTGTTCAATACGAAAAAGACGAAGCTGTCAAGGAAAAGAAGCACAAAGACAATTCAGAGAATGTATATCCTGGCTACTTCGCTAAACTGAATGCAATTATTGAGCAGAATAATGGACATATCGCTGCTGGAAAGGTAAATAACTAATTAAGAAGCAGATAACTGGATGAAATCTCAGGTTTGAGTTTATGCGCAATAGAGAATAAATAAATACATTCAGAATATAAACTTACCAGATAACTGTCCCAACTGATGAAGATTAACGGTTGATAAAGTTTTAGGCCCGTATTTTAAAAGACGTCTCAAGAATCGGTTGAACTGAAATTAGTTTTAAGTTCAGATCAAAGCTTAGGCATTGATCTTATTATAGAACGCGTTTTCAGTTTTACTCAGTTGAAACACTTTCAAGTATTGATTTGAACTTACAGTCTGTTCTCAATTACGTTTCCGCATGATCGACATTATTATTCCGTATTACGCAGCTAATTATTAAAAAATAAAAACTTTTACAAACATAATTTCTGTGAATTCGTATTTAATGTACTATTTGCTAGTGTACCAATTTTATTTTATTTTATTTGAAATGAGATTTAATTTCAATGAAGGTAAATTAAAGTGAATTGATTATTATGTATGACAAGTTGTTCTTTCGTAAATAAAGTAAAGTAAATCTTTCGTAATAATTCAGAAAGAAATCATTGTAAAACACATTCAATTGCCCTAAAACGCCCTAGAAATCACCTCTTGAGACTAGTTTCAGCTTATCTCACGTAAACAAATATCCATAGCTGTCAAAATCTATACCTAAGTAAAGATTTCGACATAAACATCGTTCTAAAATATGCTATCACTCACTTGAGTATGGATGGGTGTCCCGTTTTAAGTGACGTTCAATAATAAAATCTCTACTTAAAATTAGTTTTAAGACTAGATTCACGACTGAGACACCTTTTACAGTGCAGGCCTTAGTCAGTGAGGCCAACGCCTTACCTACAACGTAATTGAAACGGTTTTTTTTAATTATTATTTCATCTAGACTGTGTCAAATTTGATATTACGCTAAACGATCGTATGATAAGTTCAAACATTGTTAGGTTTCGTTAGTCAAGACTTAACATTTCTATAAAAATTTCAAGATCGACTAACTGAAGTTGGTTTTTCGAACCATGGGGTTTACGAATGTATTCTTCTTTCAGCTAACGTGGGGTGATTTTTGGGTCGCCGGCATCATCGATTACATAAAGGCTATGGTGCGGATACCAGATTTTGAGGAGAAGTATCCTGCCATCAAAACACTCGTTAACAAAGTGTACTCAATCCCCAAAGTGAAGGCATTTGCTAATGCTGCCTCACTTTCTGGAGACTATTGACAATTATTATTAGTTTATTTGTTAATTTGAAGAGGGAGATTTGTTATAAAAAACTTCTAAATAAAATACAGTAAAAAACCAACAATGTCTGATTTTTGGTATATTTTATTTATTACCATGGGGTTGAATTGTTTAGAATTCTGCTTCCACTTCAGCCTATTGCCGTCCATTGCTAAACGAAGGCCTTCCCTAAAGCCTTCCCTAAAGCGCCAATCATCCCGGTCTTGGGCAGTTTGCATCCATCCGCTGCCAGTTTAGAATGCAGGAGATCAATAATTAAATGCCTGTCTGTTAATTCCTAGAAGGGGTTTCGGGATTTACTCGAGCATGGCAGATTAACATAGGAGGAATACCTTACACCCAGCTGAGTACCTACACCATACATGAGGCCTACATATAGGGGGGATCGGCTAGGGCTGCCCATCAGATTAATAATGTCGTATAATCGATTCCGATAATTTGTCTGGGTGTAGTTTATCTATAATATGTAAGTGTGTATTTAGAAATATTTATGTATGTTTGGTTACCATAGTACAGCCTCTACCTAGTTTGGGATCAGACTGCCGTGTGTGAGTTATGTCAAGTTTTACATTTTTATGATATTATAGATAGAATACATTATAGATAGACAGATACAATTTTATAATATGGTATGAAATCATACCTAGCTATTGTCAAATCATTTACTTTAAACATTGATTTGAAGATATCAAAACAATAATAGCATTAAATTGATAATGGATTACAATTCAGGCTGTACTTTAAGATGTCCCATTTAATGCTGACTGCATGGTGAGATTGGTACTTTAAGGCGCACCTTGCCGCTTTCTACCTCGCTGAGGGTTGTGGTTTCGATCCTTACACGGGACAACACTTTGCGTGATACATAAATTGTTGTTCAAAGTCTGGGTGTTCTTAGAGTCCGTCTCATGAATATTTCTAAAGTCCCTCGCGACACAGACCATATTTCTAGAGCGGTAGTTGTCTTTAAAGAAATAATTTATTTTAAACCTAGGAATCTACCCTATTGAGTGAGAAAACATTGAGAGCATTGCATATGTTACATTAGACTGTTGTCTTAGTCCCATGTCCCCGACCAAATTGAGATAACTTGCTGATTCAATTCAATTCGTTTATTGCACTTCATAATAGATACGAGTACACAGTGATCATCAACGGTGCGGCAGGTTTCAATTCGCGTAGCATAAACGCCTGTATCTAATCTCTTATTACAATTACATAATCTTAAAACAATAATAATCTTGTCTATATCGTTATCTAGACCCAAGGTAAGCATTACTAGAACTTTTACAGATAAGATATAAATAGATAATAATAATAATAATGTTTCGGACTCTAACACACAACGCCATCTACTTTCAAACTAAGCAGAGCTTGTATTATTCAAGCTAGATTGACTGATAGAATACTTATATACTTTTTTATACATACATACATATTATACGTAGAAAACACACACTCCGAGACAAATATTTGCAGATCATACAAATATTTGGTCCGACCCGGGAATCGAACCCGAAACCTGAGCACAGCAGTGGCTTACGCTACCACTGCACCACCGGGGCAGTCAAGTCGATATTGGGTGTGTGTTGTTTTATGATAGAATCACGATTATTATGATTTCTGGTTTAAACTAACCTCAGTACTCCATATGAATCAACAACTAACAATCAAATACCAACAGTGTAAAATGTTTAATCTTCCATTCTTAGGAAAAGCCTATGTCTAGAAGGAGACTACTAGAGCCGGTTGCTGATGATGATATAAAATGTTTTAAAATTATGAAAGAGTTAACTCCTAGTTATCACATTAAAATACACAGAATTACTGTAGATTTCTTAAACATCAAGTTCCTATCAGTAATAAAAACGTGGCTTAAATTAATGTGTTTGCAGAAGAAATGTCCAAATTCGAATATCACTACTTCAACGGTAAGGCACTGGGAGAGGCACTTCGCCTGTGTTTTGTCTATGATGCGTGAGCGTGTTATATTTTTTTTATTAAACTTCTGACAGTTTGAAAAAAATTTTTAACACGCTTATATTAGCTTGGTATGTGTGTGGAATGGAATCTTCGAACGTGATTTTGACCCACTTTAAAACGTCGAATTAAATTGAAACTTGGACACTTATTAAGGTTCCTTGGCAATGCGATAATTATCCTCATTATCCTCATTAGGACCTTCAGGTTTTTTTTCCATACTTAATAATACGATACGTGGCTTTTGCCACGTACTAAGGCGTGTGCTGATAAAGTGATAACCATTTGTGATAAACATACATGTAACTTTTTTAGTCTTAAAACGATAATAATCAGCATTTATGACAAAAACGGGAATAAAAAGAAGTTAAAAAAAACTAAAAACACGCTTTTGTAGCTAGCTGAACTAAAAATATGTAATGTAAGTTCAAGAAGAAAAATAATAAATAAGCATGGGTGCTTTTCAAGGTATTTTATACTATAATAACTTTACTTTTAGCAATATCTGTCAGTAAAATATTTTCCGAATAGGGTCCGAGTAGAGGTCGTCCTCTCATGCCCTATCCTACGCTTCCTTGCGCGAGATGACGTCTTCGCAGAATACATCGACCGCGGTAAAACATCTGTCGCTACCGGCCATGGATCGTATGATGGCCGTTAGCAATTGATCTTCTAGGATGACTGTAGTGGAAGCCTAATGCCGTGTTGCCCAGGCCGGACAAAGTGTGCTGAGCCCAGTCTTCACTGCAATCGCAGTGGTGACAGGCGGGCCTCAATCCCCCCTAGCGATCGACTGCAGGTACTGCCGAAGCAACTGTGTTCGGAAAGGACCAGCGTCAGTCTTAAAGAAAGGGGCCCATGCTACTGCCCTGCCCCATCAACGATGACTGACTAGAGCACCTAGAGCGGTGGCAAAGCCAGCCCACCAAGTCCAGCCTTTTTTTTTTCCTTTTTTTTCATGCGGAAATCCCCTCGGGTAAAACCGGGGACATGTCGGTGGCATGTCGGACTCGAACCGACTAAAACCGCACGCCGTCTCGGGTACTAATAGCTGGGGAACCAGGTATACCCTGGAAAGGAAGTCCCTGGTGCGCCAAGTCCAGCCTAAGTGGGACTAAATGCTTGCGGAATAGAACTCACAACCTATTTACTTTGATGCACTGCTACCGCTCCAAACAAACAGTTATATTTGTCAATACCATAGTGACTATCATTCCTTCTTATTCAGTCAATATCCGGATCGTTTAGAGTTACTGAACTTAGATAAAGTTCACAGGGTGTTGATAAGCTATTTTAATAACGAAGCTTTGAAGATATTTTTATTTTACACAATACACTAAACAAATACTTGAATAACCTTATCACTTAATATGAAAGAATAAAAATGGCAAGACTGCATAGGTATTTATTTACAGTCATTATCTATTTAAAAAAAATATAGATACATAGGCGAGTTGATTAGTGTCTGTCCTAGTGGCCAATTCAATCAATGGGATGAGTATCCGTCTGACCGTCTTGTCTAAATCATTGTTTCTTACTCTAGACTTGAGGTTTCTTCTCCTAGCTCCCTTGACCTTTTCCTTTTCCATACTTCAATTTACTTTCTACCATTCCGAAGGAAGGTCGGCATCAAGCAGTCAGTGGCTATAAGAGAAACCAGTCAAAACTCTATGCGCTGACCCCAAAATAAATTGGCAAAAGCAAGCTTTGTTGATGCAGCGCCGGGTTGCAATTATGATGGATCTAAATTATTAAAATAATACCAGGGAGAATGAATTATCACAGTATACTTTTGCGATAGTTGAAAATTATCAAGGATTATCTAGACATTGACAGTTAGATTTTGATTTCTGGAGAGGGATTGTTTTGAAATTAATTTATTTGTAAAATCATTTTCATACTCATCTACTTTAATAGTCTACTGCTGGACATAGGTCTCTCCTTAGAAAGGATGTTTTGTCCTACTATATCACGCTGGTCAGACGGGTTGGAATAGAGTTTAGTGTCAACTTTCCCTTCTCTTTGCAGTGCTGTTATCCTGCGTAGTTTGCTCCCTTAATAGGCTCTTACGACACCCATAAGATCAAAAGGTACGCGAGCGACACGAGATATAATGCGTGCAAGTAACCTACGCGGGTTACCTTTTTTTTTTTGAAGCGGAAATCCCCTCGAATACCACCTATCGGTGGCATGACGGACTCGAACCAACTAAAACCGCACGCCGTCTCGGGTACTAATAGCCGGGGAACCAGGTATACCCTAGAAAGGAAGTCCCTGGTGCCCGGACATACCTCGGGCCATCTACAGACGAGTAGACGACCCCCTCCCCGTGTGAGAACCCCATGTTCCCTCTGCTCCCTGAAAGCGAGCGCGCTTCGCAACTCGCTCGCCGCCATCCCGGCCTGCTTCTGCTAGGGTGACAGATGGCCTCACCTGTCACACGAAGGGCTGCGCTTATGGAGGACGGAGGTCGTTCTGCGACCTCCGGCGCCTGAGTCGCCTGCGGTACCTGGCCCGTTCCCGGGCCTGGCGGTCCGGGAGAGGTATAAACCTCTCCCGGTCCCGCTCCGCCGTCTCCTTCGCGAGCATAACTTGCTCGCAGAAGGAGACGGCAGAGTTCCACGCACTCTCGCTCCGCACGATAGCCGCAATCAGGCTATCGAGCGAGAAAACTCCCACTCCGATGACCGCCACGAGGTCTCGCCTCTGCTCAACCCACGCCGGGCACTCTGCCAGCGTGTGGAGAGCCGTGTCCACGGTCTGGCCATCGCAGTGGTGGCACTCAGGCGTTGGCTCCTTGCGGATCAGACACAGGTGATCCCCGAAATATCCTTTCCCAGTGATCACCTGCGTCAGTCGGTATGAGAGGGTCCCGTGACGCCTCTCGAGCCAATCCTCCAAAACGGGTCTTACCGCCGCGATGACAGCGTGCCCGCCTACGCAAAGTCCTTTTCACAAAGCAAATAACCGGCGCAAGTGCCTCAACATGCGCAAGCTACTTGGATCGTGTAGAAACACCCTTAACATGGACTGCATGGATAGAAAGTAGTTTAAGCCCAGTTAGTGTTGTGAGTTCGATCTCCACTTGAATTGTTGCAAATTGTTGTTCTGAGTCTGGGTGTTCTGTGTGTTCGTTTCATGTATATCTGTAAAGTCCCCCTCGACCCAGGATATATCCCTAGAGCGGGAGTTGTCTTTTTCCAACATCGTGTAGAAGCACCCTAAATGTCTACCGCTTCCTATGGACACACCTACGTTGCCACCCTTTGAGGCACCTCCCTACTAGAACCGGAGAGAGAGGGGTTTGGGCTTATGTAACCTCACTCAACCGTTGAAGGAGTTGCTTAACATCGGTATTCTGTGAGTCAGAACCTGAGGCTCTTGAGTTGTAGACGTATATAATAATACTCGTATCATAGAAAACAATATATTTCGGGAAAGCTAAAGTGTGATTGATTTTGTTTTATCACTGATAAAATCTTTTCATTGCTGTGTGATTGTTACCAAGTGTCTTTGAGCGTGTAATACTATTATCAGTGTACCTATGGCGTTACATAGATGTCAAATAGATAAAAATTGACACGATGATGTAAGTGAATAACGCTATCACCTGCATTGAGGGGTCTGTCAAAACCCACTTATTGAAAAACTGAAAATATTAGTGATGAATGATGATCATCCGTTCGTATTGAAAAGCAGTGTTTATTTGCGATAATTTACATCTGTGAACTACACATGGTACTCCATGTATATATATTTATTTCGTTTACCCCATCTAAAAACGATTCAGTAAAATTGTGTTTAGGAAATTTGTAATTTCGTATTTTCGTACACATTTTAGTAATTTCGTAACGCGAGTGTGCGTTTGTTTGGTTACACACAGTGCGTTTGTGAAAACAAACCGACGACTAAATCTTTGGTATTCACTAGCGAACATAGTTTTGTTGTCTTAGGTGCGTAATTGAAATTCTTACTAACGTTCTGAATGCTTATTAAACTGAACTTTTCAGCTTGAACCGCTATAGTTCACCTTCACCAGATCGTCGGTCCACCTTGTCTTGCCTATCTACGCTTCTTCTTCCAGTAAGTGGTAGCCACTCAAGAACTTTTTGGCCCCGCCCACTGCCACTTAAGTTTGTTATTTTTCCGTACAGTATCAGTAACCTCTGTTCGTGTGTGGATCTTCTCATTCCTATTCACGGTAAAGTAAATATCTTAAAAAATCTGTTATAGTGTGTGTGTTTGAAAATATGTACGTATTGTCAGCTATTCGTGACCAACTATAGCTAACTGGACTTTTATTTGTACTTCTGATACTGTTGGAGATGATGACCTATACGAAAGAAGAATATACTGATATTTTGATTTGTTACAGATACATTTCGTAAAACAGACAATATATGTAAAAAGTTTTCAAGTGGTGAAAATCATATTACAGTGCTGTTGTTCTGCATAGTTTGCTCTCTTATTCGGCTCTTACGACACCCTTGTGATGAATAGGGGTGGTGACACTCTGTATTCTTAATCCGTCACCACAACGAAAGGAAATTATTACACAAATAAAAATATGTTCTATTGTTCAATTCTTTATTGTACTCAGATCATATAAAAGGAGTAGCCTCTAGAATAATGAGTCCCAAGTACTCATACTGGAAGTTTTTACAAATATTAGAGAAATTAGATAATACAAAATCATAAATTCCTATCACGCTTTTTATCGTCTCAGTGAGCAGAATAAGGGGCCGCATCAGCATATGCCTTCACCTTTGGGATGGAATATACATTGGCACGGACTTTTTTGAGGGCAGGATACTTCTCCTCAAGACCTGGCATCCGCATCATGAACTTCAAGTAATCGATCATGCCCGCGAGCACGAAATCACCCCAGGTTAGCTGAAAAAATTTTAATTATTAAGTTGTCTCAATAAAACGTCATCATTTATGGGAGCGTCATTACTTATAATTTGTCGGCAATTGTTTGTGTTGTTAAATGTCGGAAAAAAAATTTTCCTACTTTCTTTGTACTTTCTTATCTAGGGATACCGCAATGCTCGAATGGTGAAATATGTCTAAAAATGCATTACCTCGAAAAAGCCTGGATTAAATGCCTATATAAGCACGGAAACATACCTAAATGGGGGGAGACACAAACATAGAAATACAGTCTGGCAAATCAATTAATTAAATGAGAAAGAAAGAGCAGCATTTATTCTCTAACTCAATTTCATCTGGGTCTCTCAAAAATGATATTTTTTTTTCCCGTTTTTACAACATTTTTCATTGATACTCGGCTTCTATTGGTGTTGGCGTGAGTTATATAGCTTACCTAGCTTTCTCGATAAATGGAATATCTAACATAAATAATTTTTCAAATCGAACCAGTAGTCCCTGAGATTAGCCCGTTCAACCAAACGAACTCTTCAGTTTTAATAATATTAGCACAAACATATTCCATTACCTTCCCAACTGCTAGGTAGCCGTTGTTTTTCTCAATTAGAGCATTGAGTTTAGCTAAGAGGTCAGGGTACACGTTTTTGAAGTAATCTTCATGTTTCTTTTCCTTCACAGCCTCGTCGGGTTCGTAATGTACTAAGGCAGCCTCTGATAATAAGAAAGAAAATGTGTTAACTGTATAAAGTAAGACTATAGAGACTACCTTGCTAGATTTGGTTTGACTGTATTGTTTTACATAGATGTTAAGGTTTTCAGATTGCAAATAATAAAATGAAAATTATAGAAATGGGAAGTAAGAAAATATACTCGTAGGTAAGGAGTTAAATAAACAATTCAGAAGACTCACTGGCACGGATGTCGTTGACAAAGTCAACATTTTGATCAATCTCCAAGTTTTCCTCATCATTGGCTCCGACAAGGCCATACTTCTTCCCCAAGTAACGGCTGATAGCGAGACTCTGAGCGTATTGCTTGCCGTCAATAAATAATACTGGCACGGAGCCAAACAGTGTATCTGGAAAAAAAAATCTTTATTTATCTGGTTCAGGTAAACTGCACTTCAGGAATGTCCTAATATATTTATTTATATTTCGATACCCGAGCCCAACTTCTAGAGAATATCATGTTGACTATCATCAACAGCCTTTAATAGTCTACTGCTCGACATAGACCTTTCCTTACAAAGGAGGTTTTGGTCTACTATACCACGCTGACCAGACAGAAGTACAGGGCTTGCGTATGTATTAGTCCTGCGTAGTTTGCTCGAATAGTCTTACGACACCCACGGGATGAATAATGGTGGTGATAAACCGTATTTTAAATCCGTCACCACAACGATTCAGAATACGGAATTGTTGAACATGGTTGACATCTCACACAAGCCCTTAAAGTTGGATCAGACAGAAGGCCGGGCAGTACGGTGACGCGTCGTGATTACGTTTGTACATCAATAAATTACTCTAAATTGTCACATATTAGGAAAAAAATAACTGTTAATTTTCAAAACTAACAACCTGACAAAGTAAAATTAGCTTCCTAGATACTCCAATAAAAACTACTACTTTCGAAAATATGAGTCTAGAAATGATTACAATAACCTCGTTATGCTTCGTCAAAAAAAAACAGAAATGTCGGCAAAAGGATAGCAGTTCCTGTAAATTTGGAAATAAACTCAAAAAACCCATTTAAACCTTAGCATTCTGTTTATCTCTCACATACTCTACTTAATTTCTCGAAAGTAACTCGATGACCACTTACTTGGTTTGTAGGCAGGATAGGTTTCGTCAGTGTACCGAACGTCTTCAAACTCTTGGCCTCCATAAGCGAATAGCAGGCGGGGAGCCTCTCCCAGTGCCTTGCTCTTGAAGTAGTGATACACGAATTTGGGCATTATTTCTGCAAAACATACAGGTATAAATTGAGCAGGTGTTTTATTAGCGATAGGAACCTGGTTTTATAAGAGTCTATAGCTGTTCTGGGTATTCATACTTATATTATAAATGTAAAAGTAAGTTCCTTTGTTTGTTACGCTTTCACGTCTAAACCACTAAACCGATTTTAAAAATTCTTTTATCAATGGAAAGCTTCATTATCAGCGAGTAACATAGGCTACTTTTTAAGTTTTTAAAGCTAGTAATTTAATAAATGTTACAACTGAATAAAATATTTTAAAAAATACAATGACACACTTCTTTAAATTAATTCTACCCTGTTATGTGTATGTTACCCTGTGTTACCCAGTTTCTAATACAACACAACACTTATAAACTTCAAAGAGTAAAATGGCTGTTTTTTTTTTCAAATAATACAATTAACGTGGCTTTTATATAACAGATTTTTTAGAGAAAACGATAATTGAGTCCAGTCGATAGTGCACTAGTGTGAGTTTATTTTATATCAACTCGGTCTCTACGGTGAGCGCGTTCAGCCTTGCGATTGGTGAAGATTTCAGTGCGGGCCAATCACAACGCCAAACGCAGTCACCGTGACGGTCGTGTTGATGTGAAATAAACTTACACTACACTGAATCATTCGATCCCAACTAGTACAAAAGATTACACAATAATTAAATTGTTATCATATTTTGTAAACACCCCGGCACACTATCTAGACCCCAACTAAGTGTAGCTTACACTTAATTGGGGTCTAGATTAGTAATATAAAGTAATGTACTAAAAGTGATAAGATAAAGTTCTTTTTTCGATTCCGATTAGAGCAATTAGTGATAAGATGTTATTTGCAAAACCTGCTGCACTCTCACAGCACTTGAACTACATATTAGCACTTAAGTATTTGTCCCAAAATTAACAACAATACGCAAAATTACAAAAGTATCGATACTTTACTCGATGTATCGATACTTTACTCGATGTATCGATACTTTACTCGGTGTATCGATACGAAAAAAGTATCGGAACAAAAGTATCATTACCTGAAGGTATCGAGTATTTTTTTAATACTTTTATACCCCTGTCTACTCGGGGTATACTGTCTACAGGAGTATTTAACGCTTTTATATTGCCGACTACAATTTCAGTCGCAATTACGCAATAAGTGAGTGGGAACTTGCTAAAAAATAAAACTTGAAAACCCTTTTTTAACATGTTTTTTTTTATTTTGACCTACTTCAAAACGTCAAATTTACTTCAAAGTTTGCACATTTATCTAGGACCGATGACAATGCAATAATTTAAATAGTTTTTCTTATTATCTTGATCAGGACCTTTAGGAATAACGGCTTTTTCCATACCTAATAATACGATAGTGTCTTTTGCCACGTAATAGGAGTAAAAATCGTGGGGTGCTTTATTATTTTTTAATATAATAACTTTACTTTTACCAATATCTGTCAGTAAAATACTACTACAACAATTGAGATCTAGTACCCCACGCTTTTTTTACGACAAAATGATTTTGTTTTTGTTTCGGCTAGCAACAAAAGCGTTTTTTTTATTTTTATCTATAGTTTATTACAGTTGCCGACTTACCAACTACTCCCTTTGTAAGCCTTTCTTTGCAAGTAACGCAACTCTTAAGGTGGGTCTACTTTATGAGAGCGAGTTCTTCTTTGGAATGAGCTTCCCCTCGGAAACAAGATGGCCACTAACGGTTTTTTTTAAAGTAAAGTTTATATGTATTTAGTTATATGTATAATTTGTATAGGTTATAGTGTATTTCATTTATTTATTTTAATTTATAAAACTTAATGCACAAGTTGTAAACAGGCGGACTTAATGCAGAAGGCATTCTCTGCCAGTCAACCTTCGGATGATGTAGAAAAATGATGCGGTAGGTGCAAGAGAGAACAAGAAATTTGATTGATTTATTTTAAAATTTAGTAATTAATGTAACTCTAACTTGGATACAATATATTATACATACATAAATGTATTATGTGTATTTGATATATTATTTAGTCGATTCCAGTAAGAATTTTAACCAAAATGCACCTCCTTTCTTTATTCTCTGCATCACTTAATGGTTGACTGTTAGAGAATGCCGCAGGCATTAAATATGCAAATGCACCAAATGTGCATGATGTGTAAAAATAAATAAAAAGTTAATCATCTGTATACTCGTATTAGGCGGCTCTACTTTCTTCCCAACATCTGTCAATATAACATGACATGGATAAGAGAGTGCTGATGGAATTCTATTCATAATGTAACCGACGTCAGTAAAACGAGGAGGTTCTTTCTGTATTCGATGGTATTTTTTTTGCACTTGTTACTTCAGAACTCCATCACCGATGTCTCAAAATGATCTGATTTAGAAAATTCCGTTTTTATTCTTCCCGTTTGGTTCGTTTCAAACATGAAAAATATTTATTTTGTTCGACCCCTGACATTGAAAAATTAAGACATACAGTTTGTAACAATTCATGATTACATCATTAATTAAAATTTTAAAATCGTGGCTTGATCTTAGAATCACCCGCTTCATGATACGGCCGACGACTTCGTCGAATGGTAGTACTTTATAATATTACTAGCTGAGACCCGCGGTGTTACCCGCGTTTGATATTGAATTGTAGCTTATATGACACGTTTGTCGGTTTACCATAGCAGTGCCATCTATTTATTACTTACTCAATCCAGTCAAAAAGTATCGACATCTGTTAGAACCTTTTGGAGTTAACAGATAATTGTGACTGTCAATTAATTATAGACCAATAATTTGCAATAAAATAAAATTGCGACTATAATTAAAGATCTAAGCTATCCTATCTCTTAAGTTGGACCAGACTGCTCACGGTGTGCCAATTTAATTTAAAATCGGTTAAGTAGTTTAGAAGTCCATCGCGGACAAACATCGTGACAGGAGATTTATATATATTAAGACTAGCCGTGTGGTTTAAACGTCATCGTCTGATGATATGTCAAATCATATTTGTAAACGGATTTATTTTCATGATAAATCAAAGGACTGGACGGATGGCGTAGTGGTTAAAGCGGTCGCCACGCCGCTTTCTATTACGCCGAGTGTTGTGGGTTCAAACCCCACATGGACCAACACTTTGTGTGATCCACAAATTGTTGTTCTGAGTCTGGGTGTACTTTGTGTCCGTTTCATGTATGTTTGTAAAGTCCCCCGCGACACAGGATTTATTCCTAGTGCGGGAGTTGTCTTTTTTTAAATAAAAAAAAAAAAAAAAAAAATATGTATTGCAATTGTTTTTATAGCGGATAAGATATGATATCTTTTTATTGTACTGGTGTGGTCGCTGTGGGCTGATGAAAAATATTTATAAATATTATCGTGGAAAAATATCGCATATTTACAAAGTGAGCATATGCTTACAAATTTTTGCACGATTTGTTCTATGTTTTGTATAATTTATCTATAATATGTATGTGTTTAAAAATATTTGAGTTTGTTTATCGGCAATCTGGTTACCATTGTACTGGTTCTGCCTCATTTGGAAACAGACAGATTTGAAATTAATGTACTACGGAATTGCATATCTTCAAAAGATCACCCACAGTAACCATTTTTATCATTAAAAAAATTACAAAGCTATTTTAAATAATACATTATTATTCCTTATCCAATTAAATACGTTAGATACGTTGTGCATTTAATGTAGATTAAAATTGCTCTTTACAACATATCAATAAAATGGATATTTTAGAAGATATAAGAGGTTTATAATAGTTCTATCATAATAATAGTATAATTAATTAGTCCACACTGACACCACAGTAGTAGTATCAGTAGTATCTACATTGCACCCGTGCGAAGCCGGGGCGGATCGCTAGACAAGAACGGCAAGACAACAAGTACGGAAGAAAAACAAGACTAAAATCGGCATTACGAGCGATGCCGCGAGACAGATCTAGTTATATAATATTACTAGCTGACCCGCGCAACTTCGTCTGCGTCTCTCAACAGTAATTTTCTCCGTTTTTGAAACATTCTTCATTGGTGCTCCGCTCCTATTGGTCTTAGCGTGATGATATATAGCCTATAGCCTTCCTCGATAAATGGGCTATCTAACACTGAAAGAATTTTTCAAATCGGACCAGTAGTTCCTGAGATTAGCGCGTTCAAACAAACAAACAAACTCTTCAGCTTTATAATATTAGTATAGATTATAACACTTTCTTTTGCCAGCGGCTCCGCCCGCGTGTAAGTCGTTTACCGTGGTAAAAAGTAGCCTATATTACCTACTCGCTGATAATATAGTTTTCTATTGGTTAAAGTTAATTTTTTAAATTGGTTTAGTGGTTTAAGCGTGAAAGCGTAACAAACAAACAAACTCACTATCACATTTATGATGTATGGATTATTTGAAATGTACCTACGTGAAATGTTGTTATTGTGTTATAATTTATAAGCCCATATTGACGTATGTTTAAATAAAAAAGAACATCGCTGTCTATATTCCCTCACTTAACTGAATCCATTTACCCAATTGTGATCAAGGACAGCATCACTTATTTATTTACTCTAAGCGTTAACGTAACGTACAAACCAAATATAATATTTATATAAATTACAGTAGAACTTAATATTGAATGTTTACATGTATTAGAGAATATTATAAATTTATTTGTAATTAAATAAGTACTTACGTTATATGGGGATAGAGACAGGCGTGTGTTCGTTCTGCTAGGCGCGGTCTGACTGCCGAGTGCCGACTCAACGGTATTCGGAGCACGTATTTCTTAAATATCACTGATGAAGTATTTACGTTAAATACTTTAACCACATAATAGTAGGAGATATCTTATCTACAATAACATCAGAACTACATTTAAAAATAAAGCCATATATTTACTAGGTTTCGCTAGATGAATAAGGTAAAACAGTATTTTTGGATAAAAAGTATAGATTTGGACCTAAGACAGTATTTTTTGACATACATTGACAGTTAGGTTTGATTTCTGG